ATATACCCCCCCCCCCCCCCCCCTCCAGTGACCTCTATGGATATGGAGTACATAATCTTCGACTATTGAATAGCTAATATATCCAGTTTGACATTAGATACAACTGTTGAGTTATTACTGTAAATAAACTTCTCAAATTTAATATTAATCCGAACGGTAAACAAAAGTTTCAAGAGCCATTCTTGTATTTCCTAGAAGTTTTTTTCCTATTTAAACCTAATTAACGATATATATTGAGTTCGAACATCTTTTTATCATTTCTTAGAAGTACCAGCTGAAGAAATTGAATCCGTTGAAATTGTTGGCGGTTCAACTCGTATACCTGCGGTCAAGCAAATCGTTCAAGATGTTTTCCAAAAACCACCGATGACAACAATGAATGCTGACGAAAGTGTTGCACGCGGTTGCACTTTAATGTGCGCTATTTTGAGTCCAACATTTAAAGTTAAAGAATTCAAAATTGAAGATTGTCAACCATATCCAATAACATTGTCATGGCAAGGTGGCGTCAATGAAGATAATGAAGTTGAAGTATTCAGTCGTTGGAATGTTATTCCATCAACCAAGATGCTTTCGTTCTATAAACGAGAACCATTAACCGTTGAAGCTCGTTATTCCTACCCAAATGATATACCATTTTCGGAATCACGTATTGGTATGTAAAAACGTTTTTTCTCGGTAGAATTTGCTTTATTAATATTTATGAAATTTCAGGTCAATATACTATCGAACAAATTCAGCCACAACCAGATGGTACGCCATCAAAAATAAAAGTTAAAGTTAGACTTAATCGTAATGGAATATTTGATGTTACACAAGCATCATTAATTGAAACGATCGAAGAACCAAACCAACCAGCAGGTACTAATAAGATTGAGTTATATATTTAAATGTTGCTCTTAGTGGATGCGCTATCAAAACTTATTCTGAACTTATTAGGAAGTCCGAAAAAATGAGCCCTGACAGTTGCTACTTCAGTTAATAAAATATTTTTATCTTCTACTTGAGCTTGACCGATTGAAATCTTACTATATCTTTTTTTTTGTTTTATAGAAGTTATGGAATCAACACCTGCTACAGAACCAGCACAAAATGGTATCGATCAAAATCCACCAACTACAGAAGAAAAAATGGAAGAAGTAAGTTCGGTTTATTTTCCTGCAAATAATTACTCTTTTTCATTTTATTCAAAAAAAAGACTGCTCCAACTGTCAATGGTACAGATATTCCTAGTAGTGGCGATGCACAAACAACAGACGACAAGGTCTGTAGATATACTTTTTTTTTCTATGGCTGTAATTAAATTACTTTTCTGTTTTAAGAAAGACGAAGAAGAAGGTGGTGAAGAAAAACCAAAAACAGGTAATACAGCAGCAACAAAAAAGAAGAAGAAAGAAATTGATTTACCAATTACACCTCGAGTGCCTGGCGCCAGCAAAAAAGAACTTGACCGTTTAATTGAACAAGAAGTAAAATATTTACTCTAATAGTTTCATACTAACTCTTCGTTTGTTTGTTTTTCTCTCGTATAGCATGAAATGATTGCACAAGACAAGAAAGAAAAAGAACGTTCAGATGCTAAAAATTCTGTTGAAGAATATGTTTATGATATGCGCGGAAAACTCGAAGGCGGTCCATTGGAAAAATATGCCGATGACGTTATTCGACAACAATTATTGAACGAACTACAACTAGCAGAAGACTGGCTCTACGACGAAGGAGTACATCAAGAAAAAAGCGTTTATATTGAACGCTTGAAAAAGCTAAAAGTAAATTAAAATCAAACATCATTGTTTCACGTAATTGAATTTATTTCGTAGGATATTGGAGAACCTATTCGTAATCGTTATCTTGAAGCCGAACATCGTCAAAGTCATATGCAAGACTTAATGAAGTCGATTCAACGAATTGATGAAGCTATACAAATATATTACACAAAATCAAGTGATAAATATTCACATATCGATCAAAGCGAAATTGAAAAAGCCAATAAGATCTTAACTGAAAAACAAACTTGGTATGATCAAACAGCCAATCGTTTTAATGCGCTTAAAAAACATGAAGATCCAACTATACTTTGCTCACAACTCAAACAACAAAGAGAAGTAAGTTATTGTTTCGAAGACTTTTAAATCGCCACAATGTTAAATTAGAATGTAAACGTAAACTTTTAGATATGAAGTTCTTTTTTGTTGCAATAGGTTTCTATCTTAGAAAATTTGAGCATTAAGGGACAACAATTTATATGTATATAATTGTGAAAGAGAATAGATTAAACCATTTAATCCCGCTTTGACGGCTTAAGAACAAAGAGGATTATAGTGGATAGTATCTTTGTTTGTTAAGCTTTTTCATTAGATAAGAAATTTTAACACGACTTTGAACGTCTTAGTAATCAAATTCTTGATCTATTCTAGTTGAACATGAGCTTATTAGCACGATATTCATCATCATAAGATCTGCAGAAATCTATATCTGATTATGAATAGATTTTTCTTGTTTGCAAAATTTAAAGTAAAATAGGATGACTTTCGTATCGGTAACATTCAGATCGATCGCAAGTGTTGCTATTTTTTTTCGAGCCTTGTTCGCAAATCCAAACTCGTTGTTGGTCTCGTATCTTATTATGGACTCCCGTCTGGTTATTTCTGCAGTGTTCATCTTCTCCTGTATTTCCGAAGATACTCTTAGTCCTGCCTGCATTTTCTTGCATCGTACCGGTGTTGACTACTGCTCTAAACATAATTTTGATCGTTCTATTTCGATAAAAATAAATATTTCTATTTTAGACGCTTGAACGAGAATGCTGGGCCATTCTGAATAAACCAAAACCAAAAGTTGAGCCGCCCAAGGAAGAGCCTGCGAAACAGCCAACAACTAATCAACAAGAACAAGCTCAAAATCAACCACCACCACCACCACCTCCAACATCATCAGGAAATCAACAATCAACTGAACAGCAACCATCGATGGAAGTTGACTGATCTAATATCTAATAAAACCTCTAGACTCTTCTATCCTCATTGTGCGTTTGTGTGTGCTGTTTCTTTTCTTTTTCTTTTTATGTTTGTCAGAAGTTTCTCGTTATGATTAATGTTATCCATCACTTCCTATTTATGTCCACCTCGTGCGGCTACATTCAATGATGATTTTTCTTAGTTTCTTCTGCGGTACATTTTCTTTGTCATATCCGGTCTATATTCAGATGCTATACGGGCATGTTTGTTTTCAGTTCATTCTCATAAGAGAGCAAAAAAAATATTAGAAAATTAACAAAGCTATGATAAAGTCATTTAAGAAAATAAAAGAAACATCAGAGATTATTATCTTTATTGTTTAATGATATCTACATCAGTCAAATTTATATAAAATTCGGGCGAACTAATCAATCAGTATAATGATGTTTTTTCTTCTTCTCACTGGTGATCAATTGTACTGTTGGCCAACAGAGACATCAATCGAGTTCATTTAATAGATCAGTTGATAACTTAATATCAAGTTCATGATTAATATCGATATTGAAAAAATCCCTTTCGTTTCGAGGGGTGTCCAAGGAGTGAGGACTAGGAATTCCTCATCAGTTCCCCTACAGTTTCTTGCATACTAAATGTAAAAATATGGAATATTCACGATAATTTTTGTTCTTACACTCATTTTCTCTTGCAAAATTGCGAGAATCAATGATTTCATGCAAAAACTATTTTGAAAACAGAAAATATCGGGACTTTCGTGAATGGAGGAACTGTGAGGGAACCTACAGTTGATTCCCATTTCCTCTAGGAATTATCATAGAGACACTGACAATTCCTTGGCACATTAGGAATTCCTATTTCTCAGTCCTTGGACACTGCTGGACGAATTATGGGACGAATCCGGGGTAGACCCTTTTTACTTATTATCTCTTATTATTGAAATTAAGAAAATCAACTAAACGCTACATTTTCTTTCATTTATATGATGCTTATCATCTATTGGCACGTATCTGTTAAAAATGTTGATTGCTGACAGTTAATTGGCACAACATGGTATCTTCACTTGTTACAGAATTGAAAGATAGATCGGTTCAAATTTTCAGTCACAATGTGATCTTATCGAAGAATGACCACAGATATTGATACTAATGAATTACTATGTTAAAATCACAACAGTTAATTAAAAAACTTAGCTACTTCTCAGACTCTGCTAGCATGCCTGGAAACGTTTTCCGATTTTGTTGCGTTCAAATAAAATAAAATTTTTCTCACCACTTGTAGTTGTTTAGAATACTTTTTTTAAATATCCCTTGAAAAATAATCGTTGAAATTGAACGAATACATCTGAGAGGTTTTACCGCCATTGCAATTTTTTCTCTAGCCACGCCCCCGATCCTGTAGTGGTTGAATTATTTTTACGCAAAATATTTATTAACACTTCTATTAGATAGAATGCTCTTCAGTTCGTTCTCAGCAGGAAGTACTTAAATATACGTCATCCTTCACAAACATGTTTATCTTTCAATGCCATATCTCGCATATTCTTTGATTTCATCATCAATAAAATAGTGCATCTGTCTTCTCCTCTTTTTTAAACATGTATATCGGTCGTATAATTATCACTTCTGTTAATCTAAAAAAGATGTTATTCGTGCGAAAATTCACTTTTCATTAGCATTGGCCTGTTAACATTCCTTCTCATTCACTTCATCCATCATTACATATACGAAAAACATTCGATTCATTTGCATAATTGACCCAAATCATCAAATCTAGAGAAAATCATTGGCTACTTTTTTTGGTTCCACTGACCGAGGAAGAAGTTCAAAAAAAAAAAGAACGAAAAAGAATTCATGTTTTTCTTCTTCCTCTCCTTGTTTCTCTCTCGTTCTATTGAATTGAAGTAGAAACAGAATAAAAAGATTATCATTCGAATTAAACGACCATGATGGTAAGTGTCCATTAAGATTTAGCTCTACCTGTTTTCCTTTCTTTCGTACTAAACCGATTGCACAAGTAGGTGAGAAATAACAAAAACAAAAAGAAGTTGTTACCCTCTTCTTTTATCGAGTGTTGTCGTTTCTCACGCGATTATTATCCACTTCTTTAGAAACAAAATGAATTTTGCACCACAAATAGATATTAATCGACAAGAAAATTTATTTGATTCACCGAATTTGGTTCATTTTATTAACAAAACATTAGATTCACCGAACTATCCACGTATAGCCATAACAAGAAAATTAACAAATATGAACGAACAAAAACGGTCAACATCAGGAGTTATTCAATTAAGTCTTATCACATCGGATAATCATCTATCATTGAACAGTAAATAGTCTTATCTTTTCTTTCATGTTTCTTAATTGAATAAAACTATTTTCCAATTTTGTTTTTTAGTTTTACAAGTCAAAGGTATTCAGTCATGTTCATCAAGCATTCTTGTTAAAATGACACTTATACCAGATCGTAAACCATTAGAATGTCATACTCGTGCTGTGTCAAACTTAAATGGCTCAGGAATATTTAATGAAAAATTTACATTTGAAATAAATAATGATGATATAAATAAGCGTCTTTGTTTTTCCGTCTATAACTATGAACAAGGAAAAAATCAATTTCATTTTCAAGGTTGTTTATCATTTGGCATAAGAAATACATTAAAAAAGCAAAAAGTATAAAAAAAACAATAATTGAACTCAATTTGTTCGATCATCATATATGTATTTGTTTAAGATTCGTGGTTGGTTTTATTTATTACAAGAAGATATTGGCGAATTACGTCATAAACAAGTATCGAATCATGATGAAAAACACGTGACAAAAATAAATCGAGATATTGCGGATTTAGAAGAACATCAAGTATGTATTGATCATAATTGGAAACAATTCATATGTAATGGATACGTCTATCGTTGCAACGACAAGTTTTTCTTTCTTTCTAAGTACACCGACTCGTCCCAGCGGGGTATTTCCAACCCCGGTAGACATCTCTGATACGTTATAGAGAGAGATTTTTTTTCATAGCCATCGGCAAATAATTGCCTTCATGTTCATTGAAATTGCGCTCTTTAATTAATCTTCTCATATCTTTAGGCATGATACGCTCCTATTGAATCTATAGATTCAAAGTAATGTCGATTTCGGAAATAACGACGAATGATTCACATAATGTTTTTGTTCGTTTTCACCGTAGATTCTATAAATGATTGGGGACAAAATTCTTTCTGATTGTGGGAAAGTTTATTTTATCAACAGTGCTAAAGTCAACATGAAGAGAGCTATACATTCGATAAAAATCTGTTGCATCTTCGATGTTGTTCGTTCGAGTCTCAACGAAATTTTGAGTTGATGTAATCAAGAAGAGAATAGTTCATCTTCAATTGCATCTCCTTTTGAGATCATTAAATTAGTAATTAGAAAATATCGACAGTCAAAAATATATATTTTTTTCTTGTCTTCTTTTAGTTTATAATTTCTCGTGGTTCAACTCATTCATTTGGTTTTACTGTTGTTGGTGATAGTCCAACATTCATTGGAAAAGTTAGTGAAAATAGTCCAGCTGCTCTATGCGGACTTAAATCAGGTGATTATATTGTTAAAGTTAACGGCCAAAATGTGTCACGTGCTCAACAAAGAACCGTATCAAATTTAATCAAGTGATTAGAAGAATCTTTCTTATTTGCAGAACACAAAAGAATTATGTTTTTTTTTCAGACATGCAAAACATTCAGTCACATTAGATATTCATCGTTATCCAAGTGTACCAGTCAATCGTGAATTTTTTTCTTTAGTTTCTTCAACTGATACAGTATCAACTGAGAATTCATCAACATGTAGTGATTTATCGATACCCTGCTATAACAGAAATACCATGTCTTCGTCATTATCAACAGCATCCAACCGACAATTTGTTGATCTAGCTCAATTAGGACATTATATCGAACCTAAGCCATTTATTCGACAAACAACAAATAATACAGGAAAGCCATTTTATCAAGTGACAAATTCATCAGTGCTTGCCGTAAAAGGCTCACCAACGAATACATTTGTTTAACTGTCCATAAAAAAAAAGATATTAGTGATAAGCTTTCGTTTAAAAATATTATATAGAAAACCTAGTGTGTGCGCTTTTTTTATTAATGTATTATGAAAATAATTTTTAAATATTCATTAAATTGACATCATTAGCAGTCGTGCTTAAAATTTATCACGGATCTAAGCATCCTGTTTATGTTCCTTATATAAATTCGAACTTGATAACTTCGTTAATAAACATAGATGTCAGCAGCATGCTGTCTAAAAATAAGACATGGAAGAAAATATATTGAACAACAGACAAAGAATACCAGTCAAAACATGTTGTAGAGAATTTGAAACTCGACGAATATTTTCTCTTTCACTAGCACAATATCATTTAAAGTTAAATTCTCAGGAAACTAATATCCCCATTACATCACTTCGATGCATAGTCACCTAAAATGATATCGGATAAATCATAAATATGATTAGACGATCCTGAAAAATACAAAGAGGTTCTCTCCTCTCCATAACACAAATAAAACACAGCTACATCTAGATATGAGTGTCAGTGCCGTTCTGTTCTTCAACAACTTATCCATACCCACACCCTGAACTCGATGTACATAGCAAGAAACTTGCGCAGTAAAAAGCAAAATCAATTATGGAAATATGAAAAATGAAAGTATTGTAAGCAGTTTGTTATGTCTTTTTCAATATCAAGCAAGCACATACATATTGATTACTGTTGACAACTGAATCCGGTTTTTCCTTTAGCTTTTCCTCATATACCATCCAAAAGTCGCTTGATATTTGATCAATTTCTTCTTTTGAACGTCCATTTTTTTTCAATATCTGCATAACTAAAGGTTCCATTGTACTTTGAAACACTTTTGTGAATATTTTTATCAATTGATCAAATGTCAACAGACCATTGTGATAATGTTCAAGTATAGGCAATTTTAATCGACTTAATTCACCTTTAATCAATTTCAATGAGCACCGATCGAATAATTCATAATCGAGGCATTCAGATAATGAACGAAGATATATAGGGACTGTTAAGTACAATAGCTCTTGTTCATTGAAAAATGATTGAGCACATATGTACAGTTGATCGAAATAATTGCTAATACTTTCTATTCCTTGATCATCAAAACTCGGAATACTAAGTACAAGTATACCACCGGAAACAAGCTCACGAGAACGATGTTCTATAAATGAATTGAAATCAAGTTTGGCTTGATGTTTATATGCTTGACGTTCATGTTCTTCAGCATACGCATGAAAACAATGATTCGTAATATTAAAAGGTATTTTCGATAACCAATGCATTGAAGAAGCTGTAAAGCCTATTGAAAGACTATTGACTGGAAGACATTGCTCATAAAATGAATAGCCATTAGCAACACCTTGATATGATTTATCGTCTGCAAGTAGGTGAAAAAGTGTTGTCCAATCGTTTGTTGGAAGATCATTATGAACGACAAGAGGTGATGCAGTGAGTTTATTTGTTTTTTGAAGGTAATTAATAAATATTTTCATAGCTTCTATTGAGTTTTTTCCATGGGATGAACCAAAATCAGCAATAATCAAAGACAAAGGTGAAATGTCTAATTCATCAATACCCAAATGAATATAAGGGATCATTAAATTAATGATAGCAAGTTGAGGATCAGAGTTTTGATTATAACTGCCAGCCATACCAATAGTTGAACCTGCTTTTGTTTCCATTTTCTCAATAAATAAAAATACAATAGATCAGACAAGAAGTACTAGCAGCTATGACGAGATATAAATAGGAATTATCGAGATGAAAACGGCTATATGTGTCGGTATGATTGTGAATTTGAATATTGAAGAGCATATTCAGTAGTGGAACATCGTTGGAACCCGTTATGATTAGGGCTCATTGGGATAAAAAAAATCCTAAATGGTTCGGGCCCACAACATACCTGGAACGAAATCTAATCTGATGGCTATGTAAATGAAGGAAAATACCAAATTTTCACTTTTTCCTCAATTTTATTTCTCTGATTCTGCAAAAGTGAGCCCTGCAAATTTTAAATAGAAAAATTTCGTTCAATAGTACGTGACTGGCTCGTATTCAGTCAAAAATCAATTTAGAGAACTTTAAGAAAACGAGCATTCATGCCTAGCTGCTATGCTTCAATGTATGAAGAATGAAGAGAAGCAAAACGTACTCTTTCTCTGTAATTGAGAATCACGTTAATGTAGCTTGTGCTGTCCCCCCTCCCCCACAAGAAAGGTCGATATGAAAGATGGATTACAAGCCCCAGGGCTTGTATTACGCCCGAAAATTTTCAGATCTTTTTCAAAATCGATCTTCCTCTCAATGGTGATATTTTACATTGATCTGCGGGTGTGGGTGTGTGGATGTGACTGTATTTTTAACTCAACCACACCCATACCTTGAAAAACTTCTTACTTGTACGATCAATGAATAAAAATGTTATACAGTTATTGGAAGCAACAACATATTTATAAGCTAACTGAGTAAGAGAATGAGAAAAAAAGATAATGAGAGAAGAAAAAGAGAAAAAAGAAAATGAGAGAAGAAAAAGAGAAAAAAGAAAATGAGAGAAGAAAAAGAGAAAAAAGAAAGAAAGAAATAGTTTGAATATTTGCTTGCAAAATATTATTTGTGCTTGGTTTGACCCAACACGACCTGGCCAAAAATCTGCCTATAGTACTGAGCCAATTTAACTGTAGATCTGATCAAATCGATATGAGCCCCGTTAGAGGATCACTAGATTAGCATTACTTTCAAATCACTCTTTCTTTAAATGAGTTTTAATCGAGAGACCTATTTTCGAAGGTACAAAACTTTTGACATTGACTCTGAAAAGCACTGTGTACTATAGCATGCCTTTTATTTATTTATAAAATGGTGATGATATTGTAACAGGAGCTAAGATCTCCACTGGTCAATGTTCTACAGTACAAATCAACCATTTTCACTGTTATGAAATAGAATCGTTTTCAACGTTCGAAAACAAAATTGATACTATACAAAACAATCACTTGGAAGAGTCATGGGTATGGTGATATTTTTTTTAGATTTGATTGTGGAACCTTTTTTTTGTATGTTATTACCTCAAGCAAAATGACATGATGGATACAGATTGTTTTCTTTCTTTCTTGACGATGCACAACAACTATTGTGTGTGTATGTGTGAAGTATGGCATAATGCTCTTGAATAGTAATACACGTGTGGCTCCTTTGCAGTGATATTAACAGAAGGCATTTCTTTTCCTTTTTCGACGTCTCATCAATAAAAAAAATAATATCATTCAATCAAGGGTTATCACGGCAGCACAATAACTGAAGGGTGTGGGTATGGTTGAAAGTGAGAGTGAGTAAGGAAATAAAAAACACACCCACACCCACACTATGTCGATAATATTTCGATCGTCTACATTGAAAAAAATTCGATTTGCTAGATACTAGACTTCGGATGAAAATGCACGATGTCACCTCAACAAGTTAATTTTACAGAAAACAATCGATTTCGAACATTAAGCGAAAGAGATTTTCATGTATCTCTATCATTTGATCATCGACAGACTCGAAAAATGAAGGCAGACTTCACCTTTCAGTCCTTCTTATCTTCAACATATGATATAATTCATCGCTTCTTCAGCACCATGTATTCATTGACAGGCCTGAAGGTAAAGTAAATATTTTTGAGTGTAAAAAACACTTTGATCTAAAAGAAACAGAGCAACAAAAAAATATGAGTAGCTTACCTGGCGATTTTCTTCCTATGTTTACCTGAATCGTTTTGCTATTCATTGAGTACTCGTTTTTGAAGGGTCCTTGTAGGCAATTTCTACTTTCGAAATGAAAGGTAAGTCAAAATACAATCAAAATGAGAGAGAGAGAATAAGAGTAAGAGAAAATTTGATTTCATCCATCAATTCAAGGGATTCGAAGAGGCATATGTAGATGCAATTATTTCAGGTGAATACAGTAAGTATCGGAGTCTCTTTTGGACTGTGTTTATTTGATATTTTTTACATCAACAGGAAGCTTGTAGTTTCGTTTTCGACAAGAATCATTATAATAAAATGCACTTCGCTACTTTGCCAGAGTCTTTGAGAAATCACCCTTTCCTGCGCTATGAGAAGAAATGAATTCCCATGTCGTGAAAATCGCCGCGATTTTGGTGATTTATCAAAACATGAACGTAAAATCGTGATTAATCGAATTACGTAGAAAAATCGGAGATAAAATCAGATTTTATCGTGATATTGAAAATAAAATCGATTAATCGTAATCGTACAAAAATCGAAATGATTAATCACAGAAAAATCAGAATGATTAATCGCCATTAATCGTAATCGTACAAAAATCGAAATGATTAATCACAGAAAAATCAGAATGATTATTCGCCATTAATCGGTAATTTCTTTTTTTTTAAATGAAGATTTTATTCATCTTCACCTTTTGAAATGAGGATTTTATTTATTTATTTTGATTTCATAAATATTAATATTTTTTTTACATTTATCGTTTATTATAAGTGAATAATAAGGATAAATTAATACCCATGATCATAATCGCCTGTCTGTTTGGCATTAAGAGAAATAAGCAATTAAAATTAAAGAGAAAAAAATTTGAGAAAATTTTCTTCACTGCTCCGTTTAATTTATATAACGTTTTAAAACTAAGATAAATATCGCGATTAATCGGCGATTTTTTAGCCATTTCTCCGACATGGGTTTACTTTAAGCAGGACATACAAGCGACAATCCAATAGGTAGTGGGATCGGTAGTAGGTTAGTAAAATATGCAGCTTTCGAGCATTCGAAGGATTTTACTCGATGAAACAAAAATAAAAAAGAGTTGTATAGTAGAGATGTCTCATTTTTGAGTTATCAAAACCTATCGAATAGATGCCAAAAAGACGATTAAAACATAGATATTTATGATGAAACGTCCCCGAACATCTAAAATAAATGTTAACTATACAACAAATTTTCACCTGTCTAACTAATAAATCATCTTTAGTTCAAGTTTCAGGCGCGATAAAAGGAGCTTCTTTGACAAGTGTTGGATTTCATATATCGTTGATTTTCGAAATATGATGCAAAATCAATATTTATAAGTGTTATCAAAGATTCACGGTACAGCATTTATTACAATTCTGTTTTCGTCAACATAATTAGTTTAACATAACATTGATTTTATTGTTGATTGATGTCTATCAAAACACATTTCTAGAAAATTATGAAATTAACGAAAATATTAGTTCAAAATGTTTCATTCTTCTACGTTAGCTGAATGAGTTTCAAACAAACTGAGAAGGAAGTTTTTGTTAATTGAAACTATCATTTGCCAAGGCTTACTTCTACCGAAATATTCCCTATCATTTTTTCTATATGTTTCTTTTGTTGAGAATAGTCAAAACTTTAATTAGTGTCAAGAGATCAAAAATAGATATTCGACAGGACAATTTTGAAGTAATCATCATAAACGTCATTATTTTTAACAAGTTCATTTCTTGGTGTATTGAAGAAAAAGGATGAATGCATTACGACGACAAGAAGTCAGTGGGATCCACATTCATATAATGGTTCTTGTATAAAATAAAAAGAAGTACGATGCTGTTCTACAGATGAAAGAATGTACTACATAAAAACAAAAACAAAAAGCCTCCGATAGTCGTTGGCATTCATCGAGAATACTTACATCAAAATCGGCGTACTCGCCAGTTTTGAATTGGCGAATGAGGTCGAAACTTTTCTCGCAAGCACTGTTTTTCTTCTTCAACTATTACAGTGAACATCCTTACTTTTACTAGGTCATATAGCTATTGTAATGGAGGAGGGTGTAACATTCAACAGGAGAGGAGCTAGCTAATATGACAATGTCTCACTTCTGTCCCATGAAAAAGAAGGCTGTTTTCAGAGGATTTTAGTTTTTATTTAATACAAAACTTTCTTCTCTCTAATGAGCATTGTATACTTCAGAGTAATTGTCCTCATTTGTGGTAATCGAGCTATGTCGTCTCACTCAACACTCACTGTCAATGATATTCATTCTCAGTTGAATCCTACCAGAGTAACTGAAATCGTTATGGTGGATTCACTAGAGGCTATCGTAGCAACTGTTACTAAGGCTGTGGAAAAAAATCAATTTATTTCTATCGCTGGAGGGCGACACGCCATGGGTTGTCAACAATTTGGTACAGATACGATACTGATAGATACCACTCGATTGAATCAGGTACTAAGTTTCAACACGGCTACAGGCATGATTGAGGTTGAAGCCGGTATACAGTGGCCAAAATTAATAGATTATCTCATCGAAACACAAAAAAACGTCCCATGGCCGCAGCAATGGGGTATTGCTCAAAAGCAAACTGGTGCTGATCGGTTGTCAATTGGTGGATCACTGGCATGCAATGCTCATGGTCGAGGGTTAAAGATGCAACCTCTCATCGCGGATGTTGACTCCTTTAGCATAGTGGATGCCAATGGCAAGTTTCTCAAGTGCAGTCGTCTGGAAAACAGTGAATTGTTTAGACTCGCCATCGGCGGCTATGGATTATTTGGCGTGATTTATTCAGTAACAATGCGCTTAACACCCCGGCAAAAAGTAGAACGAGTGGTGGAGCTTCTCACGGTTGACAAACTACCGAAGGCTTTTGAAGAGCGCATACAAGCTGGTTTTCTCTATGGCGACTTCCAATTTTCTACTGACGATCAATCCGATGATTTTTTATATCGTGGTGTTTTTTCCTGTTATCGCCCAGTCGATCCAGCCATCCCAATGGCAGAAGCTCAAAAGGAACTTTCGGAAGATAATTGGAGCCACCTTTATTATCTCTCACATGCTGACAAAGCAGAGGCATTTCGCCAATACTCTAGTTATTATTTATCCACATCTGGTCAAATTTATGCATCCGATACCCATCAGCTAAGTATCTATCTGGATAATTATCACCACGAACTTGACCACGACCTCGGCTCAGAAGAACAAGCCACTGAAATTATCACTGAAATTTATGTTCCACGATTGGAACTCCCCAGTTTTTTAGCCGAAGTTCGTGATGATTTTCGAGCCAATAAGGTGAACATGGTCTACGGAACTATTCGGTTGATTGTGCAAGACGAAGAAAGCTTTTTGGGTTGGGCTAAACAGTCTTATGCCTGTATCATCTTTAATATAAATACAGTTCACACCCCCGCCGGATTAGAACATTCGGCTAATGCCTTTCGTCGTCTGATAGACATGGCTATTAAGCGTGGTGGCAGCTATTATTTAACCTATCACACATACGCAACTCGTGTACAAGTTGAAACATGCTATCCACAATTTGCCGAATTTATCCGACTTAAGCGACTGTATGATCCTGAAGAACGCTTTCAAAGTAACTGGTATCGTCACTATCGAGAAATGTTGGGTTCGCAAGAAGCGAATACTTACTCTGTCAAGCCTTTAGTCTGGGATGTCAAAGCTTCGAATTGATAAGTACTGTATGATTTTCTCTTCACACAATACACTATCATTTCAACTAAAACTTTACGTGCCGTTTCCTTTCGTTGCTCGTATTTTCTCTATATTATTCTTTCCGTGTTCATTTTACATGCTTTATTATTTCTTGAGATGAGTACAACTATCTCATATTTTTCTTCTTTTTCTATTTAGTGTACTTTTCCTTCTGACAATAGAAAAATAAATTGAATTGCATCGACGTGAACTCGAGGTTCTTCTCTAAAACATTCCCTCATATGCTTGATGCTGGTATACAAAGACTGAAATCCTTAGGAGATCAAATTCAAAATCAGTTTACTTGATACGTTTCGAATTCTCGTTTTTTTTTCATGGAACGTCTCTATAAATATCACAAAGATCCTATTATTTTAATTGTGGTCTTGTTTTTGTTGTTGCTGAAGTTTTTTGGTAAGCAATTAAGTCAAGAACTAGTTTAGCAATATTAAATTCTCTTTTTGGCGAGGGTGACAAAGCCTAAATAAACCATTAGTTGCGTTGAATATAGGTGACATGTGAAAATGGAATTTGTCACTCTCCAATTCATTTTCGTTCGTAAAGGGCTTATATGATCGATCAAGAATCAACACTGTATTCATTCTGATGACAAAAAGAAATGTATTAGAATATATATGAAATCATCAAATAGAGAGCTCTCCACCGATACAAAACGCAACAAAATATAATTAAAAAGGTTTTTTGATTGGTTCTCACATCATGGCACGATATATATATATATGTTCCATTCAATAAATGTTTCATAAACAAAATCAAAAACTAGCATTTCTAGCCACTTCTATGACTCAGGGGACCATCGATTGAATACACCTTCGAAGATATATTGCAATCTGTCGCCCAAGTTTGACTAAAATGGGTACGACAAATTTCAATATAACAGTCAATCCATCAGAAAGACCCAAAATAATTGTGAATACATATATATGTTATCGAATCTCGTATTGATTGAATAAGTGCATAGAAGAGAAGCACACGCTGTATAATAATAGTCATAAGTGGTATTTTTCTCCCACTGTTCAATAAGAAGATTATTGATTAAAGACGAAACTGGGACATGTGGAGATGATAGTGCGAAATCAAGAAATACTGATAAGTCTAAATTTTATCAAAACAAACTGCTCTTTTGAATTTCAATTCATCAACGAACTTACTAGTTGAAAAGGGTGTCTCATCAAGATCTTCTATGTCTTACTTTCAGTATCAGTATTTTCTGTTCGTGGTTACATTCGATTGCATATAAGTCAACCGGTGACTCGAACAACTATTTTCAGAATAACAGTGAGTTCACCAAATATGCCTAAAACCGTTGAAACTATGTAAAAAAAAGTCATGACGAGTTGTGAATGTGTATGAACATTGCAGAGGTTTACACTATATATAGTAACTTTTGTAATTGATTGCGGCGTTTCATTAGTTGACCATGACCTCTTCAATAGCATTGCCTAAGAAGGCATTTGGTAAAAATCGACTCCCATTCGACAGTAGAATTGATGTAGTCCTTTCTTTTCTGGTTAATAGTCTTTAGTTTTGCTTGTATCTTTTTTTGTCATTTGATGATCTACGCGTTCGTTCTTGAAATTAGAAAATTTATTGTACATAAATTTTCCATTGTCTTGGGTGTGGGTGTTATCTGAGGTCATCGAAATATCTACACCCGCACCCATCTCTGGAGCAATTTGAAACCAGCCATAAATGGTCCATACTGAGCCAAACTGCTATGCATCTTTCGGAATTTTGCTAATATTTTAAGGCGAATGTGTTAATATGAAAAGATACGTCTTCTCGCGATCAAGTGCTTAAACTAAAATCTAACATGAACAATCCAAAGATGGAGTCAATAGTAGATCAAGGTTGGTAAAGAACCATGCAAATCTTGGCTAAAGATCGGTGCTATAGAATGACGTGGGTATCCTCAGGCCGAAGAGATAGTATGGACAGATAAAGAACACTTAGAGTTGTTATAGCTCGAATCGCAAACTGTCAATTGGTAGAAGATCATTGTTATATAGATTAAATTATCGAGTCTGATAGTCGATGTCAAACTCTAAAACTGCTCAACAGTCAACTTGGGTCATGTTCTCAGCAGCTTTCTGCTCATTTGATCATAAATACTAAAAGAATCTACGAGCTTCAAAACTTATTTAATAAAAATCGATTTACAAAGTAGGCAGGCCTCTTTACAAATATGTCGATTGTTGTTTTATTAGGATTAATGTCTCAAATAATTTGTGGACCTGACAAGAAACCAGCTCGTTGTTCAACTTCCGATATACATATCGTGCTGCATCCTCGTCCTGTGACTCTATTTTATATTCTGTAATTTATTTTTCATATATTTTCTCAATTTTCTGACTAGAATCAATGCCTAAGCTCTAAACCAAGAAAATAGTATTTTAATGCATTTTATACATCTAATTTGCGTACTTATGAGATTTCCGTAATATTCCCTGAATTCCAATTGGATTGCGAATCTCAGAAGTTCTACGCTTCCTTCTAGAGAAAAGCTCTTGTAGAGAAATTTTCTGGCTAATAACTTGACGTACGTTATTCAAAGTATTATTACAGCGAACAAAATTCTTTTCGCATATTCTTCTCATATTGTATGCTAGCCGAAAAGCATGATTAATACATTTCATGACTATCACTCCTACGTTTCTTGTTTGTGTAGATCAAACACTACTGAAAGTATCGAATGCAGCAATCAAGGAGGCAGGCAGTTTGCTACGAAAAAGTACAAGAAAGTCATGTACAATAAAATGCATCGTATAATTAGTCAGTAGAAATTTCTTCGTTTCTCATATTTGTTTTATGACATTCGATCACTGATGATACTGATACGTTCACGTGGGACACCTCATCGAAAAATTGTCAACTGAAACTTCTTGATATAATGATATTAAGATATATTTTAGGTTACTTAATATTATATTTCAATGTAGGAGTTTCTTTATCTTTGCACAAACAATGGCATCAGAGAAGTGCGTGACTAATTTACCACTAGGAAGTAAAAGAGAAGTCATGCATATTTAAGTGCGCCGCGTAATTTGTCAGTATAAATTTCTTTGTTTCTCATATTCGTTTCATGACATTCGATTAGTGATGATGCTGGCACATTTGCATGAAATACTTCTTTGAAAACATTTTCAACCATACAATTCTTAAAACAATGACATTTGTTTATACTTTAGATTACTTATTATCATAATTACCAGTGACAATACACCCAACTGTTGATTGAACCCATGCATCCATACCATGAATATATAGCCGTGTGGTTGACTGTTACGATCGTATGTGAGTATATTTTTGATTACAAATGGATTAGTTAGCAAACGAACACGTTTACTATTGAGAACTTTTCAATATTTAAATCAGAACAAGACCGAGAGGAATTTAATGAAGGTTGAGCCCAAATGGAATCGAAACTATTGGAGGTTCTGTACGACTACCGCTTTGCAGAGACTCTTCTCATTATTCCTTGAAAATATGAAAGTTTCTAAGACGTTCTGACTATATTCGACACACCATTATTTCACTCATGCATCACTCCTTAAAGATCTATTCTAATATGTCTAAAAATCTGTCTGACCATCTGACGTGAGTCTTATCAAATATTTCGTCTACGTTTCCAATTATTTAGGCTTAGAACTGAATTTCTACAGCAATCTCTTTCGATTTCCCCACATTTCTCTGTATCTACTCATACCTATCCCTGAACATCCATATCTATTTTCAAATACTCATTCCTAAATTTAGTCACTTATTTTTAGTGTGTAGACATCTTATATCTCTCCGACTGACATACATATGCTACCGCTTCCGCCACATTGAATTTAAAAATTTGAACATAAGATGAACAAATCCGATTGTCGTTCACTTAGCCCAGCAGACGCGGATCTTCTAATGTATCACAGCATAGGAATTGCTCAAAGGCTTCTACTAATGTACCTCATGCTATACGTAAATATTAACTTTAAAGATTTTCCAGAAAACTATAGAGATTATAAGGAGTTAAGAAGAAGTTTTCAGAAATCTAAACGTAAGCGTGGATGTACCCGTGAATGAGTTAAGAACTGAAATCCATCCTCCAGTAACACACACCCACACCCAAGAATGCATCACTATAAATCTAGTTCTAGTTCTATTTCATTATTATTACGCTTTTAACTTGTTTTTTTTTCTATATTATCTCAATTCGTTAGCGTGTCATTAGGCAGTTAAGTATACTTCATCCGACACGCTTATTTTTCTTTACGTAGTATGCACGAAAACGATATCAATGTCATCAATCACAAGACAATTTACCAACTCAAGTAAGCGAAAAGAAGACATGCTATACAATATAAAGTAGAGCATTTGTATTTGAAGCATACAATACGATAACAGCTGTTCAGTCAGGTGATTTCTCTCTTTCAAATGTGTGGGGTAGTAGCGGCATGCCAACAAATGGTTCAACTGTGATTATTCCTCACAATGTGACAGTGTCCATTAGCAGTCAAACAGGTTTGACCATTAATATTATATCGATGAGAGTCTATGGTACATTACAAATTGGTTCTTCCATCAATTCTTCTTTGACAACATTTACATTTCAATATCCAGTTAATATAATGATTTTTAAGGGAGGAGTGCTACGAGACTTAACTCAAAATCATCGATGGTTTGTTTTATCAAATACAATCATCACAATTTACAATGGTGGTTCATTCATTTCATCACAACCAACAACACTGATTTCCAATACCAATAATTCAACTGCAACATTCAATTCTTCAATCAGTGGTCCATACACGATCACAGTTGATCTTCAAGGAAAAATACAAAAGTATTCATGTAAGAAAAATCTCAGCGTTTTATCCAAATATGGAACAGTACATGATAGGTTTAGGAGGAAGAAAAACTTTGAACGAATGTTATCCAATTTTCGAAAAACAAACTATTTTCACAGCTGATAATGTATTCTAGTGGAGCTAAGATGAGAGATAGAAGATACGTGAACAGTTTTCACCATGCAGATTTGTTTTTCAACAAAATGATATAGACAGAATCGTAATGGTAGTGGCAACAGAAGCAGTGCATATTTTATTACTTAGACACTGCTTAGTATCTGAAGCTAACACTAGAGATCAGCCAGAGGCGTCTTGAGATGGATTCCATCGGATCCTATTGTTGGAATGATTCTTCGAGATATGTTCGCCATATCCGTTGGAGTTGAATATCACAGGACTATGTTTGATACTTGACTTTGGTCTAGACGCTTTTTTTGGAGTATTCCCAGAAACTCAATTAAATATAAGGACAACTGTTACAGCAGATATAGGAACTATTTATGCTTCATCCGAATTTCACGTATTCCGATGAGCGCTTTCATTAGAAACAGTTATGTGCTACGTCATCTTTTTCGAAACCAAGATATTTAAACTGATATTGTGAAAAATATGGTGACTCTAATCATGTCTATAGCGACTCCATCTTGCGGACCATAACAAAAAAAAGACAGCGGTATCAAAATCACATGACACGGCGTACACGAATAAAACCTATCACAGATCTAAAAAAGATGTCCAAAGTGACAAATCCTTCCTGCCCATCTTTCGTGGCGCCCATAGTTCGCATGATACATTTGTCTTTCGAAAATTTTCTTTCTCAGTAATATCCGTTATTTCTTGAATACAACCAGTATCTCCTATATTTCCTCAGTCAATACTTAATCGAACTTTCAGGGATATCTCCAAAACGCATCATATATCGCTTTGGTGAATAGTATTGTTCTCAGTGTACACATCGCCATCAGATAGCTCCTAAAACAGAAAATGAATTCATATTATTCTTGTTTCAATTCAGTATAATAGTCAAACTTTGAATAAACAATTCAGAAAATGTTCAAGCAATTATTGAATAAAGTTTGAGCTTAAGATTAAAGGTGACAAATCCTTTTATTTTTGATAAAACAAACTAAATATGTATTTTCATTTGAAATATACACTCTTATAACATATATGCATAGTTTTTTCAAAGAATTCCTAACGAAGAATGCATTTACAAATACAAGATTTCACAGATCAAATTGTTGTGTGAAATCAAGAGTTTTCTAATGTATCACGGTCAAAATAAAGTCTACTTTCTTCCGTATCTAGCCATAACATTTGCTCCCTCTGAATCGGGTGATTTTGGATTAAACTCTACATGGTTGGGTGGACTGGCACCAACAGTGGATCGATGTTCACCAGACGATGGTGGCTGTAATTTGATTATCCCAACTAATTTTAATATAACAAGAGAAAATAATCAGTCGACTATCAATGGCGTTAACGTTTACATCTATGGTTTATTTGAAATTTCGTCGTGGGCCAGTTATCTTTTCCTTTATCCCATGCATTTCTTTGTCTACAATGGTGGGGTATTCCAAGACTCGACTATAAATGGATTTTACTTTCGCATTAATACATCGATTAACATTTACGCTGGTGGATTGTTTGTTACGCATAGTCCTAGTTATATTATTTCATATATTGAAAAAAATACTACTATCTCTCAAATTGTATTGAATGATTCGAAGATCTACGGGCCGTACACAATTGTCATTGATAATAATGGAATCATTGATAACAATGGTAAAAAAAAGTCAGCTACAAATAGAAAGAACGCTCTAATTCCGTGTGCATTTTTATTCTAGGTTCATCTTCGTTATCAACAAGCATTACAACAACAAGTAGATGCAACGCTGGTACTCTGCTAACAACATCATCTTACTTGGCTGTTTTAACTGTTCCATTTTATATTATCATGATTATTCATAGAAAATAATTGTGACTAATAATTATAAACGAGAATACTGAGCAACTCAGACGTTATACGAAAACATTGAAGCTATACATTTTTCCTGCTATAAATCACGAACACAACTCATGGATTAGTTTTCGAGTGAAACTTATCTAGTTAACATCTCGAATCTAGTGGATCATTCAGTAAATGAGGGCATGAGTGTGTGTGTGCACGAGGTATAGATGGAGTATAGGTGGGATGCTAGTGAGGGATTTTTGCTTTCAGCTACACACATATTCACATTCTTCTACTTTGTTGCTAGTAGAATATAGCATTTAATAAGAAAATTAAAATGCATCAAACTTTTGGTATAATAAATTTATAAAAGGGAATGCAAGTTGTATTAGAGCCATGTGAATTCATATATCACGATTTGCTCTGTAGTAACCCAACGGTATCTAACCTACTGCTATATTCATAAACTAATATTCGTTGTACGAAGACATTCTATGTTGAGTAATGAGTCGAAGAATATGGTTTCTTTATAGAAAGAAAGAAAGTATTCGCTAAAAAAATTCTTTTTTTCGTTCGGATCTGGGTGACAGTGTTATTACTGAACATTAATTTGATTTCATCTTAATATACTATTTTATTCTGACAATATACGAAGGTCTGAAAGTGGCGGATTATCGAAAAGCTATTTCCGAAAACAAATCCCGCCACTGGCTTATGATGTTCTTTTTTTTGTTTTTCATTATATGACAATTTAAAGAAAGAACCGTAACCATTCATATAGTCTCAGTTCATTTCAAACATTTAAATGCAATCAACTAAATAGAATCTCTTTTTTCTTCCTTGCAGGCTATTAGTGAAACGAATGAACAAATGCTCATTACTAGTCTCAGTGAGCTGATTTGTGACTATTGAGGGAAAATAATTACTTAGATCGAATGGTTACATTCAAGACGAACAGCAAATATATTATTTTCGAGTGCAAAAGTCCGTAGCTTCGGAAAATTTTTAGATATTCACTAATCGAGAACTATAGAATGGCACAAAAGAAATAAAAAGCAGATCAAAGTACATATTGAAAAAAAGAGATCTAATTTGAACATTGGGATGAAAATATTTTCAATGTAATGATTTATCAACCAAGAATAATAATATGAATATTGTATTTGTCGTTGCATGCACCATCTTTGGTTGGACTCAGTTTCAATGGAAATCTCAACATATATAGTTGTGGTTTAAACCATCTGTAAGCGCATTGCACACAGAAAGAACACGAGAAAACTCTGACAAGAATGCGGATGTGGGCCAACTTATACCAAGGAATGAGATTTCTTCGCCGATATCCCATCCAAGCACACATTCATATCCACACCCTCCCAACCCTTTAGATTGACCACACAGATGCTTACATTTTCCCAATGGTTGGGTTCGAGTTTTGGATAGTGAAATTCTAGTCGCATATACCTTCGAGGGCCATGATTACCCATCACTATTGCAAACAATTCCCTAACCAAATTCATTTTCCACTGATTAGATTTTGTTTTTATGAACGATTGTGCCGATTGATCGGCATCGAGTCGATTAAAAATTTCGTGTATTGCGCTCTCAGCATTTTGCATGATCTTACAGATTCTTCTTGTAATCGAAGAGCCACTAGAATAATTAGTATAGAAGTTTTCTTATTTCCACCAAACTGTGTATATAACTTTATATAGTATATAATCTCAATCAAATATATCTTTTCCGTTTTCATCCACTTTCTAGCCAGCGAACAAGTCACTTTCTTTCAATGACGTCATCAATTTAGATATTCTACAATATGACATGATAGTAGATTAAAGATTTGCATAGACAAATGTATTTGTGCTCTTATAAATTATTCATTGAAAATGGAGAAAAAAGGAAGTAGAAATTTGATGTAATGTACTTTGATTAGAACCAGTGATCTTTGTGTTTTATTTGCTATCGAGACTAGGACGTATTGAATAAGCATTTTTTTATGACGATGAAAATATTTCAAAAAGGAAATGACCTCTGAGATTGCAAATGTTTATATGCATAAGCGATTCACGGTACAGTCTTGCTAAGGTCTCTTGTCTCTGCGATTTTTTGAATTAATTTAAACAAATTCAGCTAATCTTTTCAAATCATCTTTCTTGTTTTTGGATTAAAAATGACGAACATTGGCTGAATTGCATCGTATCAAAGTTATTCGTGTGCTCGTACAATAGTCTCTGTGATGTTTTCATTGTTGACTGGATTATATAGTCTAAAAAAATTAAGTTTGTTACGTCCGTATGAGTTAAAAAATAAGCAGAAAAAGATATTGGAGAATTGTTCTTTCGATATGTTTAGACAACTAGGTAGATACAATTGAACAAGGATACACCAGAATGATTGTTGAATTCAACAACATTACTAGTACTCTAATAATCAAAAGACATCAGCATAGAGCCTTGACACGTTTTGTTCGGTTCTCTATCATATCAACCTTTTGAATAAAAAAATCAAAAGATTAATCATCACCGAAGCGATTTTGTATCGTATTGGTATAAATGTAGACATATCTCTAAGTTTCGTTATTCTTGAATTGAGAGTGAGTTGAGAGAGACGAGAGATATACTTGAGCATAATGCAGCCATTATAAATTGTTAACGACTAGAGTTGGCGTGCAAAATAAAATTTAGAAAGGAAATAATGACATATTGTAGTGCTTTTTACATTGGTTTACAGATTATTTCTTAGCACAATGGGACGGCAAGTTCAAGATGTTCAATTTCAAGAGCCTATATTGGTTAACTGGAAGATGATAGACGACAAAATATTGCCAACCCACTTGACAAATCCATCGGAAAATGATTCAACACTAATAAAAAAGTTTCGACCTCTAGAAATTGTGAGTAGATAAGTATATTAGCATAAAAGTGTGTTTCTTTTTATACCATATATAGTACAAGTTTGCTGATGCACTTGACATATGCCTTATGATCATTGGTACAGTTAGCTCATTTGCCAGCGGCGCATGTTTGCCATTGCTACTTGTCGTTTATCAACAAGTCACCGATGCTCTTGTCAATTATGGTAAACTGCAATATATAGAACAAATGGGTCTTCAAAATTTATCTCAATTGTCATGTGAAAATGGAGGGTAGGTTTTAGATGCGAGATTTTGCAGCCTGTGAATATATCAATCGAATATTAAGGTTTGATATGCCTAACAATACCACGAGCCCGATTCAATCAATTAAAAATGTGGTGAAATGGTATGTTGTACTCGGATTTCTAAGCATCTTCTTTTATACGATCGGCTTCTCGGCCTATATGCTATCAGCTGAACGACAAATTCGTCGAATACGGTCAGTATACTATAGACTTTTAGCTTATTTTCAAAAACATAATAAGTTGAAAATATTCAGATTTCACCTATTTCGCAATATTCTCTATCAAGATATGTCCTATTTTGATATTCTCGGTGGTAAAGGCAAATTAACCAATATGCTTATAGATGATTTACTGAAAATGAAAGAAGGCGTTGGTGATAAAGTGGCTGATTTTATTTCATTATTAGCTCGGATGGTAGGCTGTCTCGTTTTTGCATTTGTCAAAGGATGGAAATTGACACTAGTTATTTTAACTGCTGCTCCTCTCATTGTTTTGGTCTTTAATTTAACAATAAAATTCTCTATCAAATACGCAAAAAAACAAATTGAGGCCTATGCTAAAGCAAATACAATTGCACAAGAAGTATTGACAGGAATACGTATAGTGACAGCTTTCAATGGACAGAAAAAAGAACAAGACAGGTTTGCTTCGGGTGTTCATTGTCTATTGATCTCATAGGTTCTGTTGTTTTTAGATATGCGGCTAGTTTATCAGAAATACCATTGATTGGAATCAAAAAAGGCATTGTTCAAGGCTTATGTCAAATATTTTCGAATGTAGCCACTGGGGTTGTTTTCACAGCTGCTCTTGGGTATGGACAATATCTCATTAAAACAGAATGCCATGCCTATTCGGCTGGTGTACTCGTTGTTGTAAGTCAAAGAATTATTTTCTGAAATAGTGTGAGTCTATACATGCATCATCATATTTAGATATTTATTGCCTGTTTGAATACAACTTGGTGTCTTAATCAACTAGTACCTAATTTGGAAAAATTTTCCGATGCTACTGCTTCTAGTTCTTTCATTTTCAACATTATTTCGACAGTACGCTATATGCAGTAGTATCTTTTATTTTGTGAAATAAATTCATTCTTTTTACTAGAAATCAAAAATTGATGCATCTAGAACGTATGAAGGAGAAAAACCATCATCGTTGAAAGGCGAAATTCAACTAAAAAATGTGACATTCACTTATCCTGCTCGTCTAGGACAACCGGTTTGTTTAATTACTTATCATGTGATATAAAAATTCATATTTAAAAATATCATCACAGGTTCTTCAAAATGTTAATATCACAATTCCAAGCGGCAAAACAGTGGCTTTAGTCGGACATTCTGGATGTGGAAGTAAGATTAACATCTGATTGTTGTTGATATCTTATTTCACGCTGCAAAAATTTAGAAAGCACCACATTAGCATTGATAAATCGCATGTATGATCCTGATTTTGGTGAAGTAATCACTATGAATACAGTGATTTTTAATATGTCAACACTTGTGATAATACTTTTAGGTATTACTCGATGGTCAAGATATTCGACAGTTAAATATTGAATGGCTTCGTTCACATATTGGCTATGTTGGACAAGAGCCTGTACTCTTTTCGGGCTCAATTGAAGATAACATTCGGATGGGGAAGCCTCACGCAACAGAAGTTAGTATGCTCTAGTTCTCCATAGAAATTATTCAGACTATATATAATCTTATTTTTGTTTGACTTAGGACGAAGTGGTGCAAGCTGCTAAAATGGCTAATGCTCATGAATTCATTCTCGAACTACCTGAAGGATATCGAACATCGGCGAAAGGTATGTTAGCTGGTGGTCAAAAACAACGAATAGCTATTGCTCGGGCAATTATTTCCAATCCACAAATATTGCTTTTGGACGAAGCTACTTCAGCATTAGGTATAACGGAGCGTATTCTATTCGTTGTGATAGTTTTATAGCATCTTTTTATATGCAGATAATCGCAATACAAAGATTGTACAAGATGCATTGAATCAAGCTAGCAAGGGTCGAACGACGATTATTGTTGCACATCGAATCACAACAATTCGAGATGCTGATATCATTCTAGTTTTTGACAATGGCAATGTTATAGAGTGTGGCACGCATATTGAGCTGATGCAAATTGAAAATGGAATCTATCGTACATTAGCTACTCAACCGGATCAAGAAGAAGATACTAATGAAAAACAACAGCCGTCGACTAATTCTTCATGTAAGTTTAAACATGCAAAGTAATTCATTCTTAACTACAAAGATATCGTTTGAATAGTAACACCGATACGACAAAGATCTTTATCCAGTCTTCAAGAGATACCATTAAATGGCGACGATGTGAAGGAGAAGAATCCTGAAAAATTATCGCACTTTTCGTTCCATACACCATTTTTGATCAAACTACTAAAACTGAATTCACCTGAAAAGCTCTATCTAATAGTTGGTTCTCTGTGTGCTATTCTTTATGGTTGTGTCGAACCAGTAGTAGGCCTAATCTATTCAATGATATATGGTCTTTTAGCAAATCCGAATCTTGAAATTCAATCATTGCGTACACAAAATTTATCACTGGGTATTTTAGGTATTTATGTATTAGCTGGCATTGTACAATTTCTTAGTACAGTGACATTTGCTAAAGCAGGCGAAGCATTAACTTTACGTATGCGTCTGCTCACATTTGAAGCTATGTTAAGACGTGAAATCAGCTGGTTTGATGATGAGAAAAACAGTGTGGGATCGTTAATTACTCGACTTTCAACTGATACAGCGGCCTTAAGAGTAAACTCCATTTTTTTTGATTTTTTTATCTGTAATCATTTGCCTCTTTCAAGAACTTAGCTGGAACTCGAATGAATGTGCTTTTTTCATCATTGGGTGCTTTGATTTTTGCATTTACTGTTGCATTCATGACTGGTTGGAAATTAGCATTAGTCGTTTCATGTTTCACTCCACTATTAATCATTTCGGGCTATTTACAAGGAAGAACACAATCGAAAGCAGGTCACGTTAAAACAGCTAAATCATTCGCGGAAGAAGGCGGAAGAGTGAGTTCTTAAAAGTTTCTCCCAGTCTTAGAACATATTAAGAAATGATCACATGATATATATAGTATGCGATTGAAGCTATTCAAAACATTCGAACAATTGCTACTCTCAATCAAGAGCGATTTTTTATCGAAAAATACAAAAATGTATTTGACAAAGATTTTAAGTAAGTGAAATAAAATTATAAAATACTTTCATACATTTATATTTATACTACAGAAACAAATTGTGTAAAATTCCCATACAAGCGTTAGGCAAAGCGATTGGCAATTCATTTTTATATTTTATTCATGTCACAGCATTTAGCTATGGAGCAAGTCTTGTTGAAAGTGGCAATATGGATTTTGTTCAAGTTTTTCGTGTGTTTATTGTCATTAATTTTGCTTCAATGTCAATTGGCAGAAGTACATCATCAATGCCTGATTACACTGTAGCAAAAGCAGCAACCGAACGTATTTTGACATTTCTTGACCAAATATCGGCTATAGATCCCTATAATGACGAGGGTTTAAAACCGGTATGTAGAATATTGTACGTGAAATGATACATATTATGAATCTGTGTATGAATGACTTTAGAATAGCTTTGAAGGGAATATCGAGTTTCGGGATGTTGATTTTACTTATCCGACTCGAACAAAACATCGAATACTCAATAAATTTAATCTTACTTGTTTACAAGGACAAACAACAGCACTTATCGGCTCATCAGGTTGCGGGTAAGCATTGCCATCGATATTACATACAATAGTATATCTACAATTATTTGTTTTATTTAGTAAGAGCACAATCATTTCTCTGTTACTTCGTTTCTATGATTCGATCAATGGCCACATCTTTTTGGATGGTCAAGATTTACGAACTATAAATATCAGCTGGCTTCGTTCAATAATTGGCTTTGTTCAACAAGAACCGATATTATTTGATCGTACCATAGCTGAAAATATTGCATACGGGATCAATGATAGAAAAGTATCACATACAGAAATTCACGAAGTCGCCATACAAGCTAATATTCATGAAGAAATCTTAAAATTCCCACAAGTGAATCTTTTTTCACATTTGAAAACAGGATTATTCTTTTGATACATCATAGGGGTATGAGACAAACTGTGGCAATGTTGGAAATACACAATTTTCTGGAGGTCAAAAGCAAAGAATAGCAATTGCTCGAGCTTTATTACAGAAACCGAAAATACTTTTACTTGATGAAGCGACTTCTGCACTTGATAATGAGACAGAACGGGCAAGATATCTAGTTGCATATGTTTATTTTTACCTTATTTTTCTAATTTCATTTTTTTCATCAAGATTGTACAAGAAGCTATTGACAAAGCTCGACAAAATCGAACATGTTTAACAATTGCTCATCGACTAACAACAATACAGAATAGTGAAAAGATCGTCGTAGTCGATGGTGGTAGCGTGCGAGAAGAAGGTCCACACGAAGAACTATTGCGGAAAAGAGGCTTCTACTATAGGCTACAAAGGGTAGCACCGCAATGAGACGCACTCGAATGATTTATTCTTTCTGTTTGTGTTTATTCTTTTTTACTAATCAAAAGATCTGCCATATTTTTTTTATTTAAGACGAAATAATGTTAAACGAAAGATAAAGTCTACGTAGAGCTCAACTGTTTTACGTTAACGTTTTGCCGATAAATTGAACTTAATAAACTCAGGTCGCAAACAATTATCGTTTTCTGATTTTTTTATATGCGACACAATTCCAGACTAAAGAGAGATGCTATTATTTTAGTTATCTATAATTCAGCCACTTCAGGATCTCTCGTCCTACAAGTCTTCTTCATTCTAGCGTCAAGTGTTTCTTCTTTTTGCAGTATAATTTTAACGGCCAAAGTTCGGGCATTCGTATAAAGCGATAGGAATCATTTTTTCGATCACTGAACCGAGTGATCATGAAAGAAATAATGAACTGAAAATATGATATGCTACATTGAACCAATCATATAATCTGATATCTTTTGTTACGCGTAATAGAGAAAGGATTTTGGTAGAATATTATGGAACCTTGAAAAATTAGAAAAGTTGGCATTTGCAACAACTCGGCAGTTAAGTGCTGTCACAGTCGTTATCACGATGACTGAAATCATATTATTGCACAATGTCAGACATGGAAAAATACTGAAAAGTTATTAGTGCAATTCTTGAGAGATTTTACGTATACATTATTCTCGATAACACATTAGCGTTGTCTATCACGGCCTGTAGGATAGGTGAGGACTTAGATGGTGCGTATAACTGTCTACCCTATATACTCATAGATTTCTTATAAGTCCTGTTTCCCAAAATATAAGATACTAGCGGAAAATAATTGAACGACGAGCGGAAGTTGAAGAAGATAGATGATTTGACCTCTTGCTCTTTGTGTAACAGAGAGTCTGCTGTGTCAATGTAAGTTCTGTTCTGTAACTCCAAACGTGAGTTTAATGTAAGTTCCATATTTTGTCATTTTCAGGAAATGTTCTTACAAGCTTTTTCACAAAGATAATCTAAGTTTGACTATCAGTTCTTCTCCAGTCTTATAGACACAAATTAGCACAGAAGAATGATATAGACTGTAATCTATTGAAGAAAAGTCGATACCAAAAACATCTTTCGACCAGTAGATACTAGATAATGATCTTTACGTTAGATTCTTCTTTTCACTTGAAAAATTAACTGTAAACTGGTCAGACAGAGGTGGAACAGTATAAAATTTTCCTTGAAGATCTCATAGAAGCAAAATAACACCTTAGTAACTATACTATGTATTGTCTCCCTAATATGGGCATCAATGGAACCGGTTAAAAATACTCATATACGAGAATGCGTATATTGAAAAGTGTTTTGTATTTCTTTTCTTAACCTTTCATAATGTGCACTATGGGCTCTTTATTTTCTAATAACTTTTCAACAACATCAGTTGTTTATTTTTTTATTCGAGCACAAAGATATACAGGTATACTCATTTGAAATAGTCCGCAATTGAGCTTTATTTGGTCATCACTGAATTTTAACCGAAATCAGTTAATTTCTATTGAAGATAATGCTGCATGATGAAGTCGTTGTACTTCCGTTTTTCACCTTTGGTTAAGCTTACACAAAATTTCGTATAATCTTCGACATTGTGAACTACACTAATCCATCTGTTGATGAGACATGACTCAATTATTCGTATATATATATATATATATATATATATGTGTGTGTGTGCGACATATCATCCGTCTTGTTTCGACATTATCTTGAAAGGGCACATTTTTTTCTAGCATTCTTTTGCTTTACTCAGACTCATGTCAGAGACACGATGTTCTGTACAGTTGTGGTTGATAAAGTATCTACCGTCTGTCATATATCAAGTGGTACAGAATAAATCAATAATATTTTATATGTAATTTTTCATATTTAGTCTCGATAATATATTTTTTTTTGTATGAAAAGATGCACCGTGTAATTCTCTGAATTCTTCTTTTTTCAAGACACGCAGTTTCATCATACAACATAAAGTAATTCAGATCAGATAAAATTGATTAACATGTTGCAATATTAGTTAGCAGTTGGTAATGTATCTTGAGGAAGAGAGAATAATATTGTGCAAATGTTTCCTTTTCATAATATAAAATTTGCTTTTCTATAATTTAGACATTTGTATTTTACACCACTTTTCACAGAATTACCTGATGTATATTTTCAGTATATATCTCTTTGTGTAGCCAGGAGGTTTTCAAAGAGGGTAGTGTTCTCTAGCGATATAAAACTTCAAGGAGTGTTGAAGGTAGCCTGTATTATGTGACTAGATGTACAGAAATTTTGCCGTATTTTGCTTGCTATATTCTTAGTATAGAATTCTTTTCATCAAATCAAAGTAAATTACTGCGTAATCGCACTGTATTCACTAGTTCTTTTCTATGATTACATTTGGTTCATATGATGTATCTACTCGACTAGTCTGTATGAGTTGGAAAATCTACAAAGAGAGTTTTTCATCATCGTCAAAAACAGACATATTCAATACGTGCCAGTTTCAATCGTAAATAAAACACAGAGGTCACTTGTTCTAATCAAAGAAACGTCACATCATGTTCCTACTTCCTTTTTCTCCATTTTCAATGAATAATCTATGGGAGCACAAATACATTTGTAAGTAATATCTATGAAAATCTTTAATCCACTATCATGTCATATTGTAGAATATCTAAATCGATGACGCCATTGAAAGAAACTGGATGAAAAAGGAATACAAATATTTGATTGAGATTATGTACTACATAAAATTATATACATAGTTTGATAGAAATATCAAAACTGTTATTTTAATTATTTTAGTGTCAGTGACTTGCTTGCTCTTTTTTGATTTTATGCTCATCGGGCTAACATAAGAAGGGTGTTGTTATTTCTCTATCTGTCACATATATATATATAAATTAAAGTAAATGATTAGAGTTACTTCGTTTTGTCAGGAAATTGAGAAATTATTTTATTGTGTGAAATATTTTAGCGTATTTTCACGGATCTTGTTATTTTTAACATGGGTTTTTTAATTGTTCTTTATTGGTAATTGTGTACTTCAATATGTGCAAGAGATTGTTGAGCTGAATATCATGTTTATTTTGTTAAATACAAATAATAGTCAAGCAGAAAGTTTATTCGAGCTTGAAAATGTAAAACTATCCGAAACCCGTAACATCTTACTCAAAATTCGTATTTTTCAGTCTTTGCATATGGATGCATACGTACGAAAAATATTGGTTTAAATGCTGACACCATCGATTGCATATTTAACGGGCAACATTTAAATAGACGTATTTTCATGGATGAACTTTCCTGTTAATCGAAGTAAACTCGCAGATGGTTCAGTAGTATAACTGGTTATAAGTTTAAGCTAATGAACGTAATAACTCAGCTTAAGTCTCAACAGATCTTTCCGCTGTCACTGCCGAAGATTTTTATTAGCCAAATTTTAAAGTCTCCATTGTTACATATGCCATTTTATCTGTTTGATGATCTCGTTTAAAAGTTTTTTATTAAATTTATTTTCTTCTTATGAGTTTGGTAAAATAAAATTGGACAGTGAAAAGTGTCAAACAAACAGAGTACTGTTATTACAGGCAATTAAGATCTTTCCAATCAACTTCAGGTAAGTTGACAACTCCGTATTCTGCTGCAAGTTCATTTACTCTCGTATAATTAATCGGCTGTGTATCATGAATGGGAGTGACTTTCTCTAAATAATATTCTCTGCCCGGTGGTGTGAACGATATCTGCACATAAACTGGCTTTGAATTGACATTTCGAACCGATTGTGTCACATTCCGTGGAATATAAACTGTTGTACCAGCTGGTGCACAAAATTGATCCCCAGCAACATAGAACTGAAGCGTACCATTGATCACATAAAATGTTTCATCTTCTTTCATGTGATAATGAGTTCGAGCTCCCTCGTTAATATATATTAACCCTTCAATAAGTGTGAATATGTTTGCCGTTTGACTTCCACGAACAATAATTCTGTAAATGCCATTGGGATATGGTAATGCATGAACAGGTTGACCCCCATTTGGCGGAACAACTACGTACGAATTTTGGTGTTGGCAATCTAGGAGCAAAATGATATTCATCAATAGTATAAATTAGTATTTATCGATTGAACTGAGATGCGATTTTTGTTACTCGGGAAATAAAAGTTCTAGACGGTATAATACTATGTCCGAAAAGTCATGATCAGCTTCCATATTTGGAATCTATCTATTACTTTCCGGACTATTACCGAATCCACTGTTTATAAAGCCTGTAATTTGTAGATATAATAAAGCTATGAGACTGATTTCATCGCCATTGTAGCCAAACTGAGTACTACAAGCCCATATTTCATGCACCATAATGCATTCCACTCACATCCAAGTTACTGCGTTCTCTTGATATTCTTTGATACTATTTCTCTTATTCCAGCCCTTTTTTAGGGTAAGAGGTTCCTTTTTAAAACTTATCTCAGATGACTTAACAATTGGAGTACACTCTAATGAATAGCAAAGTTTATCTATGCAGAATATCTATAATTATCTTGGAGATTAATAAAGTCCTTTTCTAGAATCAAATATGTACTTACAGGCGATACCAATAACGAGCATGCTAATCAATTTGTTAAGCATATGCATCTTATTACAGTATAACTTTGATCGATAAGTCTCTTTTCAAATGAAATATACTAAGACATATTCGCGTCATTATATAGGCAACGCATGTTAAGGGTGTCTTCCGTTTTCGGGCTGATATAAAAAGAGCGCGTGACACATTTTTATTATTCAGGATGACTTCCGTATTATTAATCACAAGCAAATATTTACGATTATCGCGCCCTATCTTTGACGAGCTTGAGCAAATTTTTATTTGCAAAGATGAGAGGCAAAATCTACTTATATGGAACATATATTGCACACGTTTAGATCCATACATAACATGAAAGGCAGAAAATAAGGATTTTTTCGTGTGGCACATCTAATAACGTGTAATACACACATTTGTAGCCGAACTGGCTTATCGATCTGCTGATCCCATTTGATACAAATCGGTAAGCACATACATAAATATCAGTGAAAAGTACTCATAGAGCACAGTTGAGCGTCAGACGTACACATAAAAAACGTAACCTTTTCAATAACCAAATATAAATTGGTTCTATTATTTTCTAACATATTATTTCTTCAAAGTGCGCGTGAAACTCATGCAATCCTAAAGTAACACGCATTCCGCTTTCAGAGACCCAACATTTTCTGCTTTTAATGAATGGTACATACTTGTAAACGGTACAATCTATCGGATTGTAACTATTTTATACGTACTTCCGTTAAGTCGAATTGTAACTATTTTATGCGTACTTCCGTTAAGTCGGATTGTAACTATTTTATACGTACTTCCGTTAAATCGGAGTGCATATATTGTTTAGCATATCGTGGAAGTGCGGATGTGGGCGCGCGTGTAGATGGTGCTCAGGTTGTTCTTTGGATCCAGCTGTCGCGTCTTGAGGTTTGAAAGATGGTTTTCCGTGAGGGTTTAAGTTCAGGATGTTGCCAGGAGTTCACGATATTTGTAACCGTGTTTATTGATTCGGAATGGGGATTGTTTGCTGGCTTAGTATACTTTTTTCATCTTTAGGTATAGTCATATGGATGTCTTTACTGGGAGCTTTCTGTGCACTACGATAGGAATCATAATATCAAAATTTATAGTGTAGATTCTTCGAATTGACTTCTGGATTAGCAATTCTAAACTCTGAAAGATGTTGCAATGATTTGTCCTAGCGCCTTCTGATCCAAAATCCTGTTTTATGCAATTAAATTGCACGTTTACAAAAACTAAAAATATATTTGAAATCAATCCGCCTGGTGGTATCTAACTATATATAAAAAAGCGTCATTCTTCATGAAAGTCAGCGTTCGTGTTGCGGTAGTGAGGAATAACCAGAAATCCTTAGAGAGTGTGGATTTGAGTGTGCTGTTCGCTCACACTCCACAGTCAGGAAATTTCTCGAGATTGATGAACGTTTCAACAATAGGATTACAGATTTGTATGGTGTTTTACTCTGTAAAATCAAGCGATCATAATAGACTAGTTAAAACGACCTATCGGAGAGTCCTCGATTTATCGGATAATGAGATTCTGAGAAATCGTTCTGAAGCTATGATGTGCCTCGAAGTGATGAAAAAAATGAATCGTTCACCGACGAAACAGTTTCATGAAGGCAAAATAACCAATCAGTTATAGTTATAATGCAATTTCATCATCTAGTACTTAATGTGCAGTGTGATTATATATGAGTGTTTTTTATTATTCAGAATGAAATACAATGAAAACAATTGATGAAACCTATTAAAACATTGAGTCTCGTTTATCCAGTCCAATCTGGTATTCCGAGCAATTCAATTTCATATTTCTTTGCAACAGCAGCTGCTTGATCCGCCCAATCAGGTTCTTGTGCAACAATAACTTTGCTAACCTCTTGAAAATAGAATTCGATACCTGCTGGTTGAAAAACAAATTCTAATCGAGCTCCTGTTGAGTTAACGTTCCTATAAGAATGTTTAATATAACGTGGCGCAAAGACCCATGTTCCAGCTGTTCCACGAATTGTTTCCTCTCCAATATAAAATTCGATTTCACCTGCCAAAACGTGAAAATACTCATCTTCACGATGATGGATGTGGAGTGGAGGACCTTCACCAACTAGTATTTCACCTTCCATTATCATCAGACGTCCATCTGTTTGATTTCCCCGCAATTTAATAATACGTTCTGAATTGGACACCGCTAATACTTGAAAACGGTCGCCTTGATTTGATCCAACAGCCACCGGTGGAATTATCTTTCCACTAGTAAGACGGTCAGATATGGATTGTAATTTATCAGCAATAAAATATTTCAGATTTTGATCAAGACCTGAACTTGTGTTTGATTCCCAGATTTTTGCTGCATCTGCGATAAAAGAATATGCTCTTATGAGTAAAAAAGAATTCTTCTTCATTCAGATGATAAACATCGTTAAGACTGTATAATTTATTTTTCAATTAATGAAAGGTTAAGGAAACTATTTCTTTTTAATCGACCTGTTATATTTCTGCGTAATTTCCATAACTGAGACGCTAGTTACCTTGGCCTCTTTATGATGTAGCTCTTAATACACGTCTTCAAGCATATTTACAGTAAAAGTTCAATTCCTCTCGAAAGAAATTTCCAACTCATTCGCTAGTAGAAATGAGCTACGATGAATGATTTTTGGTTATTATTTCTCTAAGCAAAATGTAAACGTGCATATTTTAGATAATTGTCAGCTGACTAACAAATTCTATAAAACCTTAGCAATTCTTGATGTTCTAAAAATTCCTCTAAATCACACCGATCTAATATTTGAAAGTTTGATCAATATAATTTCAAAAATGTTTCAGACAGATTTGAGAAAAGTAGAATATCTCTGAAGACATGGTTTTACAGCGTTCAACATTTTTTGTATCTATATCAAATTATACAATCACACAAATATCTTTTATTCAGTCAATACTAGTCTGAAATAATATTTAACTTGCTGAGGACTCGTCTCCAATTTTGTATTACTCACCTTTTCCGATATGCATTGATATTACACCGAGGCATTCTAACAAATATAAAATTACCAACACCCGCATGACTAAACTATTCTGTATCGCCGTATAACAATGATCCAGACATGCCTCTTATATCTTATGTTAGTACATAAAAGGTCATTTAACCTCTATGAATGTAGTTTATCTAGATAGGTAAGTACTGGATTATGATGCAAAAAAAGGAAGTAGTGAGTAATAGTTTGTCCTAAACTTTATTTATAAAATTTTTTATTTTCATATGATGTCACATAATAAATGCTAGCATACTAATTACTTCTTACCATAAACAGTGGTATGATACAGAAGAAATCTTAAATAGGGATTGCCCATGCACTAACCTCACATACAATATTTAACATCGAATTAAGCTTTTTTTTCATTGTTTTAACGTTTCATGTAAGCCAAGAAGTATGTGATATATGTGCATATAGATTTTATTTTTTCACGCATTGAAAGAAAAAGCACACTCAAAATCTCCGAAGATTAGCGAATTCCATAAGAATGAAGAGTAGAAACTAATATAGAACGAGGATGTGGAGCTGTATCAAACTTGAAACTTGAGTTCAATAGAAATATTCCTCTTCAAGTATCATTTTCTTTACGTACATGGTTCACCAAAGATCTGCGTAACCTAGCTAAAGACTTTCACACACTCAAGAACCAACAAACAAGCTGTTAGGATAACTCCTGTCGTATTAAAGATGTGAAACACGATCGGGCTATTGTTTCTATTCCTCTTAAATATATCATGACTTACTTAGTAGTCGAAAACTTCAACAAACAAATACTTCATAAATATTCCAATCAGTGTCACGGTCTGTGCGAAGCAGGCTGAGTGGTTGATGCAAATTTCTATCCTGTGTGCTTATATACTTCGTTGAGACCGTTTTTCAGAAAAATCACCCCTTCCAATATTGACTCGGAATTTTTAAGATTGACAGATTCTCCATGATATGCCTGGTGTGGTTCTTGAAAAGATTTCAAAATTCATCGGTAAAATAAATATAAAATATAAGATTTTCTTCGTGGAGAATACTCAATTTTCACATATAATAGCGCTACAGTTGAAGAACCAGTAAAACTCCTTACCAAAACTCACTCTCTTAGTGATCAATTTTGGTTTTAAATAAATATCGTTCTTGCTCGTATGAATTGCTCATGCATATCAGCTCTACATTGCTTAAAAACGAGCATCAATGAATACGCATTAAATAAATAAATAATTGAAATTCGTAAATAGTCTTAGAAAATAACCAATTATTCAATGCTCTTATACCAAAATTGCACGAGTAAGAGAAAGAAGACTAATTATCATATGACTTCATTCGTAATCAAAGTTTGCTTCTTGTTTCCCCTACTTTTTATTTAAATTATTTCGTGCATTCCAATCGCAACCGAAATTCTCATGTTAACTGTATAATACATATACCCGAGTAAATGGTGGATTTCGAAAAACAATACCATCGCCTTTGAAATCAAGACAGAGACCAAGACACTTTGTATTGTGTTGTCTCTCATATCAACCTATTGAAGCGAAGTTGGGAATAATAAAGAGAAAAGGCGAAACATATGTCTTTACCGAAAGGATTACGTGTCATACTAATGTAAAGATCGCCGAAAAATTATGCGTGTGAAGTGCGTTTAGAAATTAACGCCAATAAAAACGGAAGTTGGAGAAAATTATCTATAAAAGAGGGTCATACATAAACTTTGTATGTAAAAAAAACGACGTATTTTCATGTTGAAAATAATGCAAGAAACTAGTTCATCCTATCGTCGCTTAAAATTTATGGGAACACAAAATGAATCGTCGGTGAATAAAATTCTCGTATGTGATGATAACCAACGTCTTGATCACATCGTGCATATATTTGCCGAAAAGCAGATGGCTAGAAAACGATATGAAACAAACGCTTGGCATTCATATTTTCGACGTATTACTAATAATATGATTGTATTCTATCAAAATAATGCTGCTCTATTTTATGATGACATTCAATACGATACTGAACAATTAGAATTAACCAGTAGTACTTTCATTCACGGTGATCTACATGTTGGCCAATTTCTATACCATCTCAGTGATGTAAGTCATGAGCGCGTATTCAAAGTACAAAGATACACCAAGACAGCAGCTCCATTCACATGGGATCTCAAACGTTTAGCAACTAATCTTGCACTTATTGCCTACTGTCACGGTTTTAGTGACATGGAAATGATCGAAATACTTGAAATGTTTATTCGACAATATATCAAGAAAGTGCTATCATGGAACAAAAAAAGTTTAAGAAGTCAGCAATCTAGTGACGACGATCAAATTTGCCACATGAAACCATGGAAACTTCAAAAGAAATATTCAGTCATCGGATTATTAGAAGTTCAACAGCAGTTGTACGATATCGACTGGCAATCGATCGATACTGTTAAGAGTTTGATGACACTTGCCCAACAGCTGGCTATTGCTACTGCGCATCTACACTGCCAACCACCGATTACCATTTCTTCGTTGAAAAATTCGACAAATTTAGCTATGGACAATACTGCCGATCATTGTACCCAAACGCTGCAAATGGCTCTTTCTTCAAAGGTGCTACAACAAAAATTGATCGATGAAATTTGTTACTTTGCAATAATTTATGCCGAGATTGTCGAACGTGATCATCGCCTTTTCTTCAAAAACTTTCGCAACGAAACAAAATTCCAATGTGTGAATACTATCAAAAATTTCAAAATACCACGCCCATTAGCGAATGTTCGTCGAGAGACTGTATTGATTGTTGGTGGCGGCATTGGTGGTATGGCGACAGCTCTCGCTTTTGCTCAAGCGGGAATAAGAGTGAGATTGCTGGAGAAAAATCTTGAATTTGCAGAAGTTGGTGCAGGTATGCAGTTAGCACCGAACTGTAGCCGTATACTTGATCGGCTTGGCATTTTAAAGCATGTGCAAGCTAATGCTGTTTTTCCGAAACAAATTGTATGGATGGATGCTGTATCTGGTGAGCGTCTCACTTGCATTGATTTAGGTGACAAATTTGTTGAAGATTTTGGCTATCCATATATTGTTGTACATCGAGCTGATCTTCTATATGCTCTTTATCAAGCGTGTTTAGCAAGTTACATGGTAACAATGGAAACAAATCGTACGGTGATAAGTGTAGATGAACGACCCGAGTCGATGATGGTCGAATGTGCAGATGGAATGCGTTACGATTGTGGTATGGTGGTTGCAGCTGATGGTCTCTGGTCATCATTGCGAAAATTTGTCTGTGACGATGGAGCCCCACTTAGTGTTGGTTATGTTACTTATCGAGGTACAGTAGAAATCGACCAAGTTTCAAAAGAAGCTGGCCTTGAAAATGTTCAATTTTGGATCGGACCCGACATGCATCTCGTGCAGTATCCTATTCGACGAGGCGAACTATTCAATCAAGCAGCAGTGTTCAAATCAAGTCGATTACCGGATGAAACAGATGAATGGGGAACCAAGCAAGAACTCAATGAACGATTCAACATCGGATGTCAACATGTATTAAATGCTTTGAATTTAATTCAGACCAATTTTCGATGGCCCGTCTACGAGTCAGTTATCTTCTTTTTTTTAGTACATTTTCTTGCTGATCTGCATATTATTGTTTTATTTCTAGTCGCAATCCATTATTGAAATGGAGTCGTGGTCGACTAGTGTTACTGGGTGATGCAGCTCACCCAATGTTACAATATGCTGCACAAGGTGCTGCCCAAGCATTAGAAGATGCTTATGCACTTGTTGCTGCCTACAAGAAACATGGTCAATCAAAGATTCATGCTGTATTTCATGAATACGAAAAAGAAAGAATAGCTCGCTCATCAAAAGTTGTTCAATTTGCACGTGATATTGGCACATTTGCACATCAAAATGGCGTGGCAAAGATAGCTCGCGATGCTGTATTGCGTTCACATGACATGAACAATTTTGACTCTCTCAAATGGTTGTATGCAGAGAAACAGAATCAAGACGAATAAAATATTTCACTTATTCTATAAGTGAATAGAGGCATTTTGTTGACCAATTTGAAAGTTTATTTCAAATCTCTTACTTTGTTCGTTTATGAAATTGAAGGGTGTGTGTGTATGAATTTGATTAAACAGGAGAACTACACCCACATCCCAATCCGATTTGAGTACTTGCGAAAACAGCTTTTGTAATGGAATAGTCGCACTCATTGCAATGCTACTGAGAGCCTTTTACTACATCTGTTCCTAGTCAACTTTGAGGGTGTGGGTTTGGATGTAGGCTTAAGGCGTGTAAAAATGACACTCCTAATCAGGTTTAAGCACATACTCATCCCATAGATGACTCATCCATATGTCACATTCACATTCTGATCGGATTGCCCTAAAAAAGAATATTTCTCTGTCCTGTGTTTCTTTGAAAGGAGCATGATGTTGAAATCTAGTTCTGTTAGTAGATATAGAAAAGGATTACTACCGTCTAAAGCGAAAAAGACAGACAGTTCAGTGAGAAAAATCGAATATATAAATGGGAAAAGTGTACTAGACTGGTTTTCGTGGACTCTATATTTCTATGGATTTTGATAACTTTTCTCTTATATTTTCATGGTACTTATTTATTCTCATGTCTGCAAACTGTAATGACTAAATGCGTAAAGAACATGAATATCTTATTGATGGTTTGAAGTGGAAATATTGACAAGATAAAGCACACCCATAAGATCAAGTTCCGATTATGTGTATTAATTAATTATTTCTTCCTATTTCTCTTCTTTATTTCTTCTTTTTTGTTTCTTGGAAAATAATTTTTAAAGCATTGCTCATCTATCATTTTCGTCAAGGCTCGAATCCTACAGGATACTACATTTAATGACTAAAAGATCTAACCTGCTAAAATTAGAGTCTCATTGTTCGACACTAATTGATCCACTAACGATCTCGTTAGCGTCGAAAGGACACAACTTCAAATGATGAAAAAGGCGTGAAAAAAACTGTCTTGATACGGATAGGCATGCACCGAACCCAAGCCGAAATTATTTTGGATTTGGTACATCTCTATTAATGGATATCAGAATGATCTTTGCAATCCATTTTACTATAATTCCATATTGCTGTTTTAAGCACTAGTTTTCTTCTAATTTCTTCTATTCAAAGTGAATGTGGAAAAGGAACAGAAACGGATAAGCATAGTTTCTGGGATCTTCTTTTGCTATCATCAACTTTCATAATTATGTCAAAGGCAAATTTTCATCTTAATTTTGAGAAAAGCCTTCATTCAAAAGTTGTTTCAACAGACACTTTATGTAAATCGGTACAAAAAAGTACTTTCACTGACACGTTGAATTTTATATTAACAACATTAAATGATGATATTTTCTCGTTGACTTATTTGATAGTTGATCGATTTTATATAAAGATATTGCCAAGAATTCATCCTAATGTTAAATCTTTTATTCTTAGTTATCTCTGCCCTACTCAATATCGATCTTACACTAAACACTATAATGCAAGTTACTCAAAAATTGCACCGGAAATAAGAGCTGAAATCATTCGCAATAAATTTTCTTTCGCACACTTTTTTCATATTGACTGAAACTTGTTGACCTCATGTTTTACAAATAGTTGAAGAATGAAAGATTGAATTGAATTTCCATGAAGAACAAGGCTCTTTTTTTCTTCATGCCATCGCGTTAGTTAACTCAGTCTGATTGTTAAAGGAACAAGTTAGCCAAAACACAGTTCAGATCGGTACCTAATATTCATTAGTAATACAAGCTACACCGACTATTCCTTCTGTCAATAGAATACAGAATACTATTAATTTGTTCAAAGACTAGCTCCACGACTGTTTAGAACTCTCTTTAGTGCTATCATCGTTTATCTTAAATTTGAATGATAGGGATTCTTTTTACAATCATATGTTGTAGAAAGCTGATATTTTGAGTACATAATTATAGAGAAAAACAGAGGCTAGTTGTTCGTAGAAATCACAACTCTTTGATTCAATATCATTTTGAAGTACTAGAAATGATAGATTTCTGATAAATTTCGAGGAAGCATATTTATAAGCAAGATCAATCATTGTCTAGTTAATATTTTAATTTCTGTATATTATTTCTATGAAAATAGAACAATAAGCTAATCGAATTCGATCGATTTCTTGTAGAAATTTATTCTCATGAGATTTAAACTAATAAAACTATCTAGCATTGATTAACAAACAAAAATAGAGTTAATCAAATTTTCTAGTCAAGGATTTTCTTCTGTTGATAGCATATTACTAAATGACAGATATAATTTAATTATTTGATAAAATGCTCATTAAGTGACATCAATAACAAGATAACATTTTAAATTGAATTAACAAATACACTCATAAAAGTCTGTAAACAAACGAATGATGAAACACTTTGTTTTTGGCTATTTTAGAACATTTATTCAAGCAGTAAAAAAATATGTACTTTAACTATGACTCGTAATGGCTACAATAGGAACCAGTGATTTGTCATTCTTTTTGTACTATTCTCTCTGTTTTTTTCCTTGGATTACCATTTGATTCTTTCTAAACTGGATTACTCTGCTTCTCATAATGTTAAGACTTGAAAAAAAACGATACAACCAATATAAATGTCAGCAGAATGACAAGTTTATGGCTTGGTAAAAGCACTATTTGAAAGAGAATGTATGATATAATAAATAAATCCAGGGTACGAACAACCTCAGTACATCTACATCCAACGGTTGAGGTCATCGACCTGTAGAAACGATAAATACAAACATAGATCAAAAAGAAAACTCGCTAGCGCTTCATCATCTGTTTTATTTCCACAGCTGTCGAAACTAATGATACGCCATTTTTTTGCATGTTTTGCTAACAACTACAGGATGAAGATCGATGAAAAACAAAATGTTTAATACCAACGAGATCTTATTGATTTACAGCCTGTCAGTATTCCAAATGTTTCAAAGCTATTTTTAAATTGTCTTTGACAAGGTATTTATTTAGGTGTCTAATATCATGCATGAACAGAGTTTTCTTTTTTTCTCTTTCTTCTCACAGTAAAATATGTAGAATAAATAAATAAATATATAGATATATATATATAATGACAACAGAACTGTTCGATCATATACACGAATAAAAAATATGTACACTATACAAAACACACTCGAATAGTAATAATAATAATAAAGATAATCAAATAAATACATGTTTTCTCTTACGACATATATATGCATATCACACGGATGAAATAGATACGTGCAGAAAAGGGTTGAGAGGCAAGGCATTAATGTCGAGAAGAAAAAAACGCAGGACAAATTATGCTTGCTAGCACCAAATATACATATTCACACAAATACTGTTTTGAAGTCGTAGCAAGATGTCCTAGATTTTTTCCTTTCTCTCGACATCGAACATATGTACAAACAACAAACGCTTTGAGCAAAAAAATATAATATAATAAATAATTATGTAAATCCTCCTCCGATGTCCATTTCATTATCGAAACCGAACGATGTAGACGATAGAAATGGATCGTGAGTAAATGGTGATAATGGATCGTTTGAATTATTTCCAATGCCACTATTCGTATCATTACTATCTTCATCAACGATACCAAATGATGAAAGTGAATCAAGCGGTGGAAGAGAGTCAAACGTTGCAAATATTGGTGTGGATGGAGGTACCAATGGATTATTAGTATTTAATGACGATGATAATGACGATGGCTCTTGTTTAACTACATTCGTATTAGCAACAGCAATAGCTGGCGAACTTTGAATTGTTGCTGTTGCTGATGATGAATTTATTGAAATACCATTTGAATAACATTTTCTTTCTAGTTCCTATATTGATAAATTAATATGAAGACAAAGAAAACTTAATGTCAACTAACTTTTACTCGTTCTTGTAATGCCATATTTTGTTGTGCGAGCATTTGATATTTTTCTTCAATTAAAACAGCATTATCATACTGACGGCGTAGTATTTTAATATAATCAACCGATGCACGTAATATTGTACCTTTATTTTGTTTTGAGTCTCTATGTAGAAAAATATTTTCAAATTACAAATTGAATTTAATTAATTATTGTTCACATATGGTGAACTTCTATTTTGTTGATGATGATGTAGAGTTGAAAGGTTAAACATTGCTTTTTCTGTTTCTATTTCTGAACAAACATACGAACTTTTATTAATTGTACGCGCATAACATTTGTTTTACAATCTTTGATCTCTTATTTAATATTCATATTGATTGTATCTTTGTTTCTTTTCATAGAGAGAACGATATGTAAAACAGCTGAATCAACATCATCAATATTGATAGTAGTACTATTAGTTTAGTTTTGTTCTTATAACTAGTTTTTGATTGAAAAAGAATTTCATATGAGAAAATTTTTCATGCTAATCAAAATAGGACTATTGCGCGTCTTTCTAAGCTAGACAAATTTTCTTGAGTACCACTTACAACTCAGTTCCTTTTGGCAGTAGAGTACCCAACTCTTTAATACGATCGTTGATATTAAATCGGCGACGACGTTCAACTAAAATTTATAAGAGCATTCAACATTGAAAAAGAAAATTCATGTACTCTGTCGTACTCATGTTATGATTATCTTTTTTCTGTCGATCACGTAGAACAAGACGCATTTCATCATCTGTTAGTGGTAAACCAATTTTTGCTTTGGCACTGAGTATATTTGTTGGGCATGATGATGAATGACGGGAGCTACTATCAGTTCCATCTTTTGATAATGATGATGACAAAAATGCTGAGCCCATATGCTCACCAGTCAACGTTGTTGATAACTCAAAAACAAAAGTCAAAGTTTTTTCAGAATAAAAATATTTTATCTAAACAGAAAATATGTACTCGAGGTGTAATACTAATGCCACGCGTATTACTGTCAATACTCCCACACGTTGTATCATCGTTAAGTTGGTCGTCCATCTGTAGGAGAAAAACGAAGAAATTAATTTCAAAACAAACAAAAACAAAATTGAGAAATTACTTCAGATGTGATTTCACTATCTGGAGATGATTCGTCTTGATTTAACTACAATAACAACAGAGATTTTTTTTACAGATCAATATTAATATTTTCTTCTGCTAAATTCACTTACAACATTTGTTTGTTGTATTATAGAACGTTCATCACCAACTAGCGTTTGCTTGCGAGACATTTGTTCGAGATGATATCTTGTTGGATTTTCAAGAAGACTTTGAACTGTCTGTACATGAAAATAAATAGATAGTATTCAATAAGATCTGAATTGTGAAATTAACCTGAGTCATCTGTGATGGTGAAATTGATTGTTGAAGTAAAAATGTTGTTGAATCAAACGGTTTCGTATTTGCTGACGATGGCATTCGGATTGCATTTGACGAATTGCTTATTCGTATTGGATTAGTATCTCTATCACGAGTTAAAAGCGATGGCTGCGAAGTTAAACTTGTACCAGTTAGATTTGGTGATGCTCGTTGTTTAGTTGGACTTTCATCGGTCTAGAAAATAAAATAGATTAACTCTCGAGATATTTATTAAATTTAAGATTTACTAATTGTCTTCGTAATTGATTCATTCCAACACGCTTGTTTATGTTTCTAAATGAAAAGGGAATAACATGAAAAATAAAAGATACTTTTTCTAGTCTTTCTTACGTTGGCTGAGCCATTCTATATGCTGGTGCTGGTGATGATAAAAAATCTTTGATAAGTGGCTCAGTTCCATAATCATTTTGTTTTTCATCAACAAGTTCAAAATCCAAATCAGGTAAATTCGGATCAGATGATGTGAACATGATGTGACGTTTTTATTGTTATTGTTGTTGTTTTATATATATTAAAAGTAAATATCTACAAAAGCGACAGAAGATAAAATAATATTTATTTTGAATTCATATCGTGAATGTGATGATAATGAATTTAAGATACATTAATAAAAAGCTGTTTTTTTGACTTCTCATAAATTCAGAAGAAAAATAAATGAAGGATTTAGTTTATCTCTATCTATCGAAAAAAAACGAATCATGATGAAGGTACGAGAACATGGCTAATGTACAATATTTTCACCAATAGAAATAAAGGCTGTGTCTCTCGCGTAGGAATTCATTTTGCTTTTCTGATAAAAATCGGGAGAGCGAGAAAAAGAATAGATTCTCTATTCAGCATCATGCTCATGGAAGAACAAAAAGTCCAAAGTACATTTGAAATATTTTTTAATTGAAAATAAACAAAAAAAAAGTCAATAGATTTATTCGAAAATAAAATTTCCGGCTTACATGTGAACACAATTTACTAGAGGATCGACTGGATTAGTTGATATTTTTTCTTGCTCTATATTTAGAAAATAGTTGGAGATTTGCTCTGTAAAAACTCAGTGTGATTGATAGAATGAATGCTTATTTTTTGTCAATATTGAATCATGCAACACAATAGAAACCAGTGTTGACAAAAAGCAAAACTAATATCCAAAAAAAATATATCGATCTAGTTTCTCTATGACTTATTTTGAATGGAAGTCGAATTCTTTTTTACTCAATCCTAATACATACGAAAATATTCTTTAATTCATCTATTCAAAATGCATCGAGCGAGAAATTATTCTGATGAGTCAAGATATGACAATAGAAATGGTTACAAATGAAACGGCCGTAATATTAACATGAGCGCACGTGCATATATGCTCGCGAGTCATTTGTTTTGAATATGTTAAGTGCATGCGATATGTTTTTATTATACGATTCATCTTATCTGATAGTTGTGGATTATGTATGTTTATTGGAAATTGAATCATGCTGAGTATTAAAACAGTCGTGAAAAAAATCCTACTAATGGATTATAGAAATGATCTCTTATCATCTTTCGATTTGTCTAAGTTTACATTTGAATGTATAGGACGTAAAAGAATGAGCATTGAAATGTTGAATAAGATGTAACTGCTGCTGCTCGTTGCATGAAGATTACTTTGTTTTATATATTTCAGGACACATGTTCTTCCCTTGATCCTCTAACATTTTAACAGGACAGTTTGTCAGATCTATTAGCACAAGGTTACTAGTGTACACGTTTGATTGTACACTCAGTATGCCTGTGACACTGCGTAGGAGATGTAAATTTTTACTCTGACATGTATGCTAGAGTGTATTTCAAACAAAATATCTTTCGCGAGATCTAAAATTACAGTTATAATGTAATATTTTTACTAACCTAAATCAGCTTGAACAGCACTAATAACTTGTAATTGTGAATTTAATCGACTATCCTAGATATGAAAATGAAGTCAGTAGAAGTAAAACACAATAATTGTTAGAAAACAAGTTTCGGAAGAAGCTTAATGTTGTAGCTACTTTTTTTGGCGCTGCAATGATTGTTATAGAAAGTGCAAAGGTCGTAGTGTTTATGTAACACCTAGTGAATAGGAAAGTTTGAATGAACTAGAATCTTGCACTTGTAGGTCGATTGCAACGAATAATGTCTAGCCTACTAAAAGAATATTTTAGGTCATTCTATTGATTGATTGACGATTTAATAACAACAATATGTTGTTGTGTCATTCTTTCAAAATGATGAAACCACTTAGCTTTGCAAACTGTCGCACACTCGTGCTCAATTGAAAATTTTTTTTTTAATACAAGATTCAATATAACAAGCTGTGCTCTACGTAAGAAATATTTGTCGTCGTAGTTTTCATGTGACTAAGAGTTGAGAGGCGATGCTTTAAGGATGAAACCCTCAACATTTCAAACTACATTGACTTAGACCTGTTTGCAAGATGTTGACTAACTAGTTTTATTGTCTAATATTTTGTAGGGACGCAGAATAGAAATTACATCCGATGTTCTATTTGAACAGACTTTTCATGGTGAAAAATAGGCTTATTCACATCCTGAAATGAAATCTAAATTGCAAATTTCTGAAACGATCTAGTATTGTTTTTATTTTTGTAAGAAAAAATATTTCATAATATGCGCTCATTTTGTCGATGTAATCGTTTACCAACAAGAAAAATTTTATTTCTTTGAAATTCGAGAGCCAATAACGGCGAAACAAACAAACGAATAAGATATTGATTACGCGTGTATGATCTATGTTATCCTCACTCGTTTCATATATCCGTTTAATCGTTTTCCCTGTTCTTATATTTTTTCATCGTTTCCCTTTGAACTTTATTTTTCTCAAAGTTAAAAGAAGAGGTCATTACTTTTTTTGATAAGAGTAGATCTAGTTACGCGGAGATGGGAAGAAACCAAAAATAGTCACAGTTTCTATTTTGATCAATCGACAAATCTGTAACTAAAACTAATGTTTAAAATATTTCGTCGATTTTCACATTGGTATAAATTTTAATGGGTTAAATAACAAGACAGAAGTGGATCTCATTAGATAAATAGGGTTCAAATGAAACTTAAAATAATGTTTTGTACCTAGTGCAATACGCGAGTGGAATAGTAACAAAAATTCATATTTATGATTAAAAGCATTTTTCTGTGTGACATGCGTATCCGATTTGATTTTCTAGTACATTGCCGGATATCATGCTAAACAATAAAGTCGATCAACTGTCAAAAGACAAGCATATTTTCTGTCATTTTTTTGTTGAAAACTGTCAGCATCTGTCTGGTAGTATTGTTTCTTTAACCATTAATGTCATATGAAAACCGGGACCGCAAGTATTTCTTATGTTGTGCACAGCTTGTTATATATGATGAAGAGAATTTTAATTATGGAACAGAAGTGTCACAGTTTGTAAAAATACGATGAATAACAACAGATCAATAGAATGATCTGAGGTTTTTCATGTGGACTATAGACTATAATTTAATGACAATAAAAGCACTCTGCTTTTTCAGGATCAATTTTCAACCAGTAAACCTATTGTTCAAGAATCAATTGAATTTTTCGAGTTGCATATTATCTCAGCTTCATTGAGTATTCGCGGGATGAAACGTTTTTTTACATGTTGCTTTATCAGATTAATTAGCATTCATCACTGATGGAAAATTTTACTTCGACAATAATCTATCGATTTGCTTTTACTTAAAAATGATTGCATAACAAAAATCATTGATATTTTATTCGGATGCATTGAAATAAAAACAGACAAGCGAGATGTTTTCAATCGTAAAATCATATTTCTTAGAATAAATATGATCGTCATTGATCATTTAGTATTACCGTCATTGTTGTCTGAAATACAATAAATTAATCATCACCATCATCTAATGTTTTCTCTGTCTTTAAATCAGCATAACACCGGTAATATATTTTATGGGAAATTTCAATAAAATATGAATGATCTCGTGTTCGTCGTTTAACAATGATATTTATCAAATATAGGTCATTGAGAAAAGTTCAATTGATAAAAAAAAGAGGCTTGAACTTGTTGAAGATGAAAATCTTCTATTCAAAGTGTGTTTGAGAGCAAAATGTGTATAGAATGATAAAGTGCAGTGTTCAGAGTAAAAGTTTCAATAGAAAGAAAAACTTTGAACATTGAAACGAGAATGATTTTGTGCAAAAAATATTTCCTTCGATTCTCTTATTGTATTTATTAGAAGAATACATAGATTCCACTAGCGAAAAGTTGGTAATGTTTTTATCGAATCTTATATTGCAAAAAAACACGTCAAATAAATATAGTCAATCAAACAAATGGTCATTCGAACATTTTTTAAAGTGTGTTAAAGTGTGAAGCTTTTACGTTGAAAAAATAAGTCCTCAATTATAATCATCTAGACAGTTGTTTTCTTTGTCACAAAAACAACGTTCTTTTTCTTTAATCATCACAACACATTCAAATGAGCTCTTTTTTTAGTTTATGGTTTATTTATTGTCACACTCGAAAGAGCCTACAAAAGCAGAGAAACATCGAGGGACGGAAGGGATAGAAAGTAACAAACAAAAAAGGAAAAGAAAACAAAAAGGGAGAAACAAAGATAAAGATACATGAAGTAAATGACAGCGGTAGCGAGATGGACAGATAATACAAGTAGCGGGAGTTGTAAAGGTTGAGATAGAATGTTAAGGGGCTGTTAATAAACTACGATTTCGTGTTCCCTGTTTCCTATATTTCTAATTATCATTTTGCTCATTAAAATCAAACCAGTCTAGGAGAAGGGAGAGGTGTTTTAATTTTTAACGTTTAACCCGTTTCAACGTAAATAGATGGCCAACACCATATTTAGCTTGCTTATGGAAATGATCCCATAGGAATACATCTTCAAGAAATAAGGAAGCACCTAAATCTGAAGAGCACATATTTTTTAATCTGTTCGCGATATAGCGTTTGACATAAGTATCAAGCAGTTCTTCTCGGGTAAGACTCAAAAGATCCTTAGCGCGAACAAATGGGGCACGATGAACTAAGCGTATTGCTACTCGATACTTTCTTCTAAGCGCCTCTTGGTGTGTTGCGGGGAGAAAGGAGAAAAAAGTAAAGATGCAAGCGAAATGGAGAAATATATACGTGAAGAAGCATCTTTTCAAAGTGTCTTTGGACAAAATTTTGTCGCTACGCAGCCATTTGAGCTTACCCAACGATCTTTGGATATTCTCTAGGCTTTTGTTTACAGTGGGTTTCAATGATACTTTACTCATCCAGGTAAAACCAAGATACTTAAACGTGTCTACAATGGCAAGTTTTTGTTCTAGTATATATATGCCTACCGTGGACTTTCTAATTTGAGAATAGAAGAGTGATGCGACCGTTTTTCCGATATTGATTGGTTGCTTCTAGCGAATCGAATATTCAGCAATCTTGTCGCATACTTTAATTCCGTCAATCTCTAAATACTCGACTAGAGATGAGAAAGATTTTTGGATGGGTGCTCGCATGTGCACGCTCAGGTCATCAGCGAGAATATGACTTGAGTCGGCTTCCAGACAAGCTACTAAATCGGTATGGTATACTACGAATATAAAGGGACTGAGACTACTGCCTTGGGGAAAACCGAGTTGTACTTGAAAAACTTCTGACTTCATTTGACCATAGTAAATATACGCTGTACGGTTATTTAGCCAGCTATAAATCATTTTCAGTAGGTTATTGGGTATACCTAACCTGTATAATTTGACCAAGAAACCCGCATGCCAAACTAAGTCAAAAACGTTTTCATAGTCGACATATATTGCAAGCGTAGAGACATTCGCAGCTAAATTATTCTGAACTTCCTGAAAAATGAAAACCACCCTAGTCTGGAGAAGACAGTTCGTTCTGAACCCTGATTGTTCACGCGGCACTAGATGATTTCCTTCAGTCCAAGCTCGTATTCGATCGAGAAGCACGTTTTCAAAAATTTTGGAATAGGTCGCTAAAAGAGATATAGATCTAGTCTGATTGCAACGTGGTATACCAGCTTCAAGTTTGTTGAGGGTAATAATTTTCGAGCTATGCCAGAAGCCTGGATACGTTCCCTCTTGTACCCAAAAGTTGAAGCAATTAACTAGACTTTCTATATAGGTTGGAGGAAGTAACTTAATAATAAAATTTGACACCTGATTGATACTTGAAGACTTCTTTGGTTTCGTCTTTTTTTTATCATTTTAGAGACTTCCGTTTTGGTTGTAGCCTCTACGCCTGTTTTCTTAGAAGCAGTTAGTAAGCTCTGGAGTTCTCTAAATTCTGTCTCGATTTGAATATCGTGACGAATTAATGGGCTGGTTTCAGGGACTTTAGCTAAGTCCTTAAAGTAATTATAGAGTTATTTCGTAATCTACTGCTCGTCTGATATAATACTAGTCTCTACTGATAGTTTAGTGAGTGGTAGCGTTTTTGGTTTATAAATTTTTGAAAGATGTGAAATGAGCTCTTATCTTAGTGCGTAGTGTTATGAACGCAAAAAATCAATACGAAAAATTAGAAAAACACTTTCCGAGTTAATCAAACAAAGTCCGATGTTTACATTCGATCGTTCTTATTTATGGAAGAAAAACACCGGTTATTATTGTATTTATTATCTTTCGAGCATCCTTGTTCATAAATACAGATTTCAAAAGTTTTTTTTTCTAATTCAGAGTACTTCTATATCTAAGGCACAAATGATTGAAAATTGAAATGTTATTTTATAGAAATCCAGTGAGCTTTGCAAGTGTAAAATCATCAAAATTTTTCTTAACGATTATTTTACAATAAATGAAGGTAGAAATTCAAAATACTTCACCTGGCACAGTAAGACATATGGTCAGCGCACGACAAAGAAATTTTTTTAAGAAATTTCGTCTAGCATATAAAAAGAGCAAGCACTCTCGCAATCTTCATCATTTATTTCATAGTTATATGTTATTCTTGTCGATGTGTGATGATAAAAAAAGAGTAAGTAACACCTTGAGCAACGCTTTCCTGTTATTTGTGAAGAAGTTTTATGCATAAGGTAGAGAGTAACAATGACGAGAAAACAATCCTGCTGCGAGATTTAGATCATCAGTAACTTATTTTAATAGAAAAATAATATCGTAGTAAGAATCAGTAGAGGAGAATACGCCGACGCCTCAATTCATCAGCGAAAAATATTCAATGAATTTTTATGCGTAGAGAACTACAATAGAAAAATTAATGTAACATTTTGACACGCCAATTATTATTGATAATGAAAATGAGTATAAGAAATAACTATTGAAAATGACAAGTTTTAGACAAATTCTAATTGAATGTGAATGAAGACTCGACAGCGTTGAAAGAAGAAATAAGTAGACCTGAAGTAAATAGGAGTTCTTAATTAAAAGCAATATATGATTCGAACAGAGAAAACGATTAATCAGAAACGAAAATATATACAAATTAACATACACAACTAGTATCACATAGAACAAAACATGGTGGATGTCCCGTAACTTCTTTTCCAAAAAGAGCCGTGAATGTAAATGTTCAAGTTAATATTTATCTTTGAGTTTCGACTATAAAATGTATGACATTTGAAAAAGCATGAAAGTGCTACTTTTAAATGAATACATACCATTTTTTGCATCGTACAAGAAACGATGGTAGTATAAAGTCGGTTACTTAGGATTTATCTTCTCATGCTCAGCAGATTTCTAACATTCAATGAAATTCGACATGTTGTCATCAATGAGGATATTTTTCAATTGATTAGGTAACCATTCGAACGGATACAACTGTTTTGTTTTTCACATGAATATTTTCGCAGAGGTTGATGAGCTTTTTGTCATTACGGTATAAGCATCTTGAACTAAAATATTGTTTTAATTTGAATTACATACGTCTGAAGTCAAATTCCATTTCATCAAGTTTCTGTTTTCCATAATAGATTTATTTCTTGTGCTAGTAACAAGTTTTCATACGACATCCTGCGAAGTGTAAGATATACTTTCGGAGTATTATCAAGAATTTGCTTTTATTAAATAACAAAACACGCAGCGAATACTCTTTTAGATGTTAGAGAACAGATTTCATAGATACATAAGTTTTCTTTCGCATTATCATTTTTTTGACAAATAGGTTCATGTTTTATGCGCGCCAGTACAATCAGCATAAAAAAAAATAGTTCATACATATTCTCTCGCAAGAACGCTTTGATGAAGAGCGTTCGTGAGTTGTCACTAAATATCTTAGAGTATACATTTGTAGATGCATTAACTGATTATGGTGTGCATTCCAGCGATGAGAAAACTGTAAAAAGACAAATTTTATTTCTGTCAGCAACACCTATGCAAATATTATAACTTAGCGGTATTCATTAGACGAATGCAATGTTTTTACTTAATTAAAGCAACTCCTTTTTTTTTTCAACAAATGCCAGCAAACCAGATGTCAATGTTTCTTTCTTTACCTTTTTGCCCAATCACATACTATTCTTTATTCTATAAAATTTCTTTCAAATAATTACAGATTAAAATGTACGTAAGCGTTGTATTTCTTCTTATTATTTCTAATCATATGTCATGGTGTCAATATGATCTAACCGATCTTGTATCAGGTACAAAAATGTCCGTTAAAGACGATATGTTTGCATCAGTATCCAACGCGTTTTCCAATTTTGCTGTACTAATGTATCCATTTAAAAATGCCAGCTCCGGAGGACAAAAACGATGTAACTTGCGATACAATACAACAGATCGTTATGTTCATAGTGTAGCCGTGGTAGGAATTTCTAAAAATAGTGCAAATGGCGATCAGTTTATGCTTGTTTTTGCTGCGGAAAAAATGTCGACCATGACTCCATATGTTTGCATTGGTGAGATCTCAAAATCTACATGCATTAATCACCTACAATGTACAGATGTTGCTCCAGCGGGATCTCCTCAACAATATTTTCTTATTGCGGTCGATTCGAATGGTACCTTTGCTTATGGATTCTCAAGTTCATTTGCATTTAAATTAGATATTTATGCCAATACAATGGTTTTGAATCTTACAACCAATGATATTTGGCCATCGCAAGGGTTCATTCCCCATGCTATCGATGTTGCTGATACATGGGCCGTTATTGCTGGCTATGGATATTCAGATGTAGTTAAAAAAGATTATGCAACTCTTGGATGTTTAATTGATCTTTCTGTTCTAACAAATGTGTCATGTTTAAATCTTACTTACGAGACGACATATTTAATACCAAGTAATGTCGTTTCATATAATGAACTTTATGAATTATCGGTTTCTATACGTGGTCAAAAAATACTCGTTGGTGTACAACGTCTTTCAACTTTCATCTGCATAGAAAAACAAAGGTCATCATTAAACGTTACTAATTCATATCAATTATCTTATCCGGATGCCACGTCATTTGGTCGTGTGGTTCAATGGGCAGATGATACAAGTATTGCTGTACTAGTTGACAATCCATATGTAACACCATGGTCTACATCAGAAATATTCGTTTATAGTGAACGTTCAGTAACGTTGACCACTCCTGTCTTCGCATTTCCCAACAGTCAACAAATATTGGGTAGCCGCTTATCAAGTCCGTCTTTTTCTCGATTTGGTATTACCAATGGAGGCAATATGGCTATACTTACAGATACCGGTAATATTTTAGTTGTTCCTTTGGCACCTGCTGGTTACGTTTCAGCATGGGTCGATACCACAGCACTTACATTCGTATTCTATTTTCGCCAACAGCTTTGCATCGGTGGGACCTATAAAAATCATTCGAGTTTAGGTTCCTGTCAAATATGTGGTCCGCGCACTATGAATCCTGGCACGCTCCTCAGCGGAGTTCTTCAATGTATACCATGTTCGAATAGTTCATCAACTTCGCTCTGTCCACTGGCATCACTTGCCGATGTTGACTCAAGTAAAGTGCCATCGTATAGTCAAGCAGTTGCATATCCTGAAACCAGTGATACAACAGACATGGAAGATATTCTGCTGATAAATGTTTTTCAACTAAGTTCTGACTCACGTTGTTTAGTCATATCTCCTATATTCTGGACAATGATTACCATTGGTATATGTGTTTCGATTTTAGTCCTTATGGCTGCCATCAAACACTGTGGATGTGAAAATTTTACAAAATATAGAAAAAGAGCAAAGGAAATTTTCAAACATACGGATATAATTGGCGAGGGTGAAATGTGGGCTGGTGGACTAGCAACATTGTCTATTTTTGTTCTCGTAGGCTTTTCCTATTGGTTTTCTGTGTCATTTATACGACGTTATCCAATTGAAGAAATTACTGGCCCAGCTACATTTGCCTGTGACCACTCATTGGTTAATGCGCAGTTTACAAGCGGACTTGAACTTCTTGCTACTCCTAAATCAGAAGAAGCTCAGCCACTTTTCGATCTACTCGATGCGCAAACATTCTATTTAACTGTTGAACTAATTAATACTGGATTTCCATGTAATTCTATCACTGCACAAGAAAATCTTGTTAGCAGTAAATATCTTTCCTTAGCAATGAATTGTAGTCAGTCAATTCCAGACGCGATAACATCCGTTACATTACCGTTTCCGGGGCACGGAACAACTATTCAAGTCAATATGACTGGTCCCTATTGGATCGGTGCCGTTCGTTTGTGTATTCGAGGAAATAGCCATACAAATTCAAACATTGCATTACTTGAATTAGATTTTTGTCAATTTTATACAACACCAAATGAAGCTATTGGTAGAATAACTAGTATACCAATTTCATTCGTTAAAAACGTCAATATGACACATGCTTTGAGTGACTCAGACCCAAATATCTATGATGGCATATGGATACCGACGTTTAGTAAAGTCGTATTATCGGACGAACCGTATTATGTTGAATTCGGTAATTATTTGCGTTATACTTCTTCGTTGACTGTCATTAAAATAGCGCTTGACGAACGTCCATTTTATATTAAAAATATCGAACAACCAATCGTTCGAATGGCTGAATTAGTTTTCAAAGCGATGCTGTTCACTTCATTATGTATCGAATTATTTGCTTTTGCTTTTCTCATTATAAAACTGGTCATGATACCAGTAGTCCGATGGATTCTATTTTTATGGAAGATACTATATTGGAAAATTTCGAAATCTGATATTCAAGATTCGTCGAGGGAATCTAAATTAAATTCAAGTTCATCTAATGGTAGTCAAAAGTTAATGTTGAAGTTGGCAACTGATTTGACTATGGTTAACGAAACAGACACATCAATATCGTATCGACATCAAGAAGGCACGCAGAAGAAATATTCGATATCAAATATCGAATTGGATTCATCAACGCTGATTAGTAGACTTTGATATAATCGGTTGAATGGTTACCGGCTTTTGTTTGCATTTGAGTATCAAGCTTTCTTTTCTTTGAAATAAATTTCAATTGAATTTTACGATTACTTTTTACCATGAATAGCTCAAGGCAAGGTCATTCTCAATTGCTCAAATTCTCGGTTATACACACAAGAATTCAATCGTGAATGTGTTTACCACGGCTCCGCGCGGGACGGGATGGGACGAAAAAAATCGTCCCATGGGACCAGATCGAAAATTCAAAAATCAGAATTTTTCTTATAAAAATCAGAAAACGACCAGAAATTTTTTTAGGAATGTCAGAAGCTTATCAGAAAGATCAGTTTTTGTGATATAGCAACTTCTGTATTGATATCATGGCATTAAGTACTTCATTACATTTTTTTTATTGACTAGTACTTTATTTTCAAAGTTTCATCACTATACAGATGAATATTTATCAATGAATAAGCAATCTTTACGAAAAATTTTCTTTTTTCTTTATTTTCCGAGACGATGCTGCTTTTGGTAATTAATGCACTTCGCTTTATGTCTCTTCAGAATCAAATTCAACTATATTAATATCATCTATTAGATAATGTAATTTTTATTTGTAGAATGTTTCATAAGCGAGAATCTCGAAATCAAGAAAAAAAACATTATCAAATTCTAGTGCATCGCTGTAGCTGAAGTTTCCTATATAAATCAGAAATTACCATCGGATAATTGAGAAATAAAATTGACGCAATAAACATCCATAATAGTAATGTGTTATAATTATACTGAAGTACACCCGCAAAACTGGGATGTGAAATATTTTCGAATTCGGAAAGAAATCAAAAGAAAGTATTAAAATCAGGAAAAGTCAGAATATAGTACGACAACCAAAAGATCAGAAGAAATTCTGAAAGGACTTCGAATTTCATAATTTTTCCTTACTTTTCGGAAGATCTGGCCACCCTGCATGGGACATCTCAATTATCATATATTCTATAAGACGTTAAGTTTATCCGAATGCTCATCTACCTACTAAAACTATGATGTCATATTATCGTTTCATATGTTCATAATTTTATTATTGTCAAGTTCACAATTCTTTTTTTTTACTTTTACCATCAAAAATACATCGCTCTATGAATAAATACAAAATAGTACAAAATATGGCAATATAGAGAAAATTCAAGCGACGCAAAAAGATGAAAGTAGTGTTTTAGATAAAAAGAAACGATTCGAACAAAATAAATATTATTAAAAATATGGAAAAAATATTATTGTACATCATTGCACAAACTTCATATTTTCCATAAACCGAATGAGTAGGATATTGTTGACTTGTTTTGATTGCACAGATGAGTGCAATATCTATGTCACAGTAATTGTATATCGCAAAAGTTTAGAGCATTTATCAAGCCATTTTCTGGAACGAGACGAAAATTTTTAGCCCCATGGGATGGGATAGTCCCGTCCCACGCAGAGCCCTGGTGTTTACATCTTTTCTTATTCCAATTCTGCTGAAAGAAGATTGATTAGCGACGGTATCTTTTAAGGGTTCAATGGATGTTCGTTGTTCGATTCTTCTGTCAGGCGTGATCAAACAATAGGTGTACTGCGCAATATAAGTCAATAAATAAGAAATGACCAGATCGAAAATAGTAAAAAAAATTCGATTAGTTTTTTGTTGATCAAAACTGTGAAAGAAAATATTAAACTTTGATTCTTAAGTGAGATTTTTCATTATGTTCGATCTAATAATAGCAACTCTTTCTCTCTCATGGTATTGTATCTTGATATATAATTTCGACCGACCAGCATTACGAATAATAACATTAGAAAACTAACTATTCCAAAGGGAAAAGGCTTGGGTCTCAATCCTGCAGTTGTTCAAATATTTCCATTCGTTCGAAATCTTCTTAACTTTTATTTGTCTTTCTCAAAAGCGTTAATCATCGTGAACATATCATATTTATTACTCTAAATGATCTTTTATAACAATATCGTCATTCTACTATCTCATTCCTATGAAAGACAGTAGTACTCTAGTCGTCAATGAAGATAAACAATCACTCGAAATAACGGGAGAAAAACCACAATAATCATAACAATGTTTCAAATTTCGATATCACAATAACAAGAAGAACGATGTGAGAAGAAACAACAAAAAGAAAAAGGAAAGAAAACAAAGCAAAGCAAAGCAAATAAATCATAGCTAATTTATTTTCCAATAGAAAATGATCGGCCAGTAGGATTATGTATAGGCAATGTTGTAGGCTCAATAACTGTCCATTCATACCATACTTGAGATGATGAACAACAACGCCAAAAGTTAACTTTTATTTTCGAATTAGCTTGTAATGTCACCGGTTCCTAATAGGAGAAAAAATCTCGCATAAATAAAATGTTGCATAAATCTAAATGATTTCTTACTCGAATCGGAAAAAACATTGGAAACCAACTTATTAGATTCTTTGAGTGTGTATTGGGTTCAATGCCTAGATGAACATATACAAAATAATCATTTCGATAAACCCTACGACTTACTAATAGTTATGTCTTTATACAATTTTGCTTCGAAAAAACCCGCTAAACCATGCATAGTACCTGTTGCTGGTATCGTGAATTCTACTTCCTCGTATCTTGAATTATCTATAGGAGCTAAAAAATAAAAATAAAAAGAGTAATAAAAACAAAACAGCCGAAGACATTGTTTTTTTGTTTTCTTTTACTCGCAAAATTTGGATGTAAAAAAGTAAATAATGGTTTAGTTTCAGCCAAGAAAAAGCAATTATGTAAATAAACAACGAACGGTGTTTCAAAATTAGCCTACATAGAAAAGTTTTTAAATATTTTTCTTTCATTAAATAAACATTTTCTTTACGTAATAAGGTTTATTGGCATCTCGGTTGTAAAGTAATTCTGAAAATATACGCGGTGATTGTACAGGACTGATAAATGAAGTGTAAGCATAAGGAATACTAATTCCATCGTCTAAAATAATTCATACTGAAATTATCTATCTTAAGAACAAAATATTTTACCTTTTAAGTAACGTTGTGCTCCGTCCAAACATTCCGGTGATAGTTCATTATCACCAAATGAACCTAATAATTCACTAACCATAATATCAGCTTTACATTCTGGTTGCCATGAACGCATATCTTGATGAATGATCGTCACACGATCGGCCCATTCTTGTTTTTGAGCATAAAGACTACGGACAAAAGCAAGATTTTTGTAATCGATATATCCGAAAAAAAGTAAACTAACGAAATAATTGCCATAGGATTTTTCTCGACTGCATAAATATGTACTTTATATTTGGCTCGATCAGCTGCTTCAAGTGCTCGGTTAACTAATGGACCACGACCGGCACCGACAACCATAATGATTCTAAACAGAAATTTAATATTTTGAAAAATGACAAGTATGCTCCATCAAGCAATCAAGATTTGTTTTTAAATAAAGACGACTAATTTAACTATAATCAACGAATTTCGAGTTCGGATAACCTCTTCGACGATTATATCATATATATTGTTGTAAGACTTACACAGTTGTTTTTGGATCATATCGTTCGATTAAGGCTTGATAAACAGCCTTTATTAAAAACCAAAGAAACTATTTTTTCTAATAAAAGTTTTCACGAACTCTACCTTTTCATATTGAACATATTTTATTGGATCTTTCTCAAATATTTCATATGTACGTGATTCAAGATTATCAGCCAATGGTTGCAGTGGCACTTGTAGTCGATCTTCATAACCATGTGTAAATGCTTCAAGTACACGATTAGTCGGCTCTGTTTGCTAATATGAAAAATTAAAACGAAAATTTTGAATTCTTCTACAATTTTTATTATTTACGCGCGTGATATATTTAAGATATTGTAAATAAGGTTCGAATAGTGCTGAATCATTTGGATTAATACCTTTGATAATAAATTGAACTTTAAGCTAAATCAATAAAAAAAATCGGGAAATATTTAAATAAATCAAAAGCTTTACTTTAATTAATTTTATTATAAAAAGTTGATGAGCAGGTGAAAGAACGGGAAAACCTTTTGCATTCGTCGTAAAAATTTTTGTTGGTAATATAACAGCTCGTACTGGTTCACCTAACCAACGTTTTTGAGCTTGTTCACTGGGTACATCAGCCGATAATTCTAACGCGAAACAAAGAAACGACAATTTTCAATTAATAGATATGAAAAAAACTCATACCTAATACTGGATAAACTTTTCCATGGTAGTCTAGTAATTTATAGATTTTATTCCACCAAAGCCAAGGTTGCAATTCTGCTTCACTGTCGTCATCAAAATTACCTGATGCACATGTTGGAAAAACAAACCAATACTAAAAGCAGATGCATCATGGATTTCGTTTTCTTAATTTTTCAAATAATATTCTTACAGCAAAATATAATGTATTCAGTGTACTAGCAGCAATACGAATTAGATTTGTACTATTTCCGTTTCGAATACGAATGATAACACGTGCGACACTAAAATATTGAGCAGCAGCTAGCTCTTCTTGAAGTAACTAAATTAAAACAAATGAGAAAATAGTCGAAAACAGAATAACAATTTTATTGTAACTACTTTCGTAGCTTTATTTCGTATATGAATATTTGATGAGTCAACATCAATAACATGTCGAATGAGAGCGACAAGTGCTGTTGACATATCAGCACTTTCGCCAACGCCTTTTAATCGACTGGCGATTGCTGGCCATGTTGATTGTTTTGATCCATAGTTGGTCAATAGATCTGTTCCGTATTGTTTACGAATAATTGGTACTACAAGAAAGTCATATCTTAAAAGAAAAACCACGACAAATATTGATAGAAGTTCAAGAGGAAAATTTTACTTTTGTGATGAAGCAAGTGTCAATGCATCTTTGACACTTCGTACTTTGGTAAACTCGATGCCTACTGAAGGAGCCGATTGTGTGGACATTATTTTTTCGGTATTATACTTCAAAAAGATATAAAAGAATAATACGATAAAAAAAAAGAAATCCTTTCAATATAAATCTAAAACAAACAAATATACTAGAAGAATTTCAGTATCTTTTTCTCGCTGACTGAAATCGTTTTTCTCGCTTTAAAGATCGATTCGTCTTTAAAATAATCATTTCATTCGACTCGATTGTACCTCCCTACGATAGATGTCACATCTTGTCATGCAATGATTAATTACTTTGAAATAAAATGAAAATAAACTATTTTTTTTCCGATCATAACTAGAAGAAGAATAGAAAAATAAAACTCACTTTTGATAGAAATTGAACGAAATAGTGACATTTATTAGCCAATCAAAATTTACTTATCATAACTTGACGTAGCAAAAAAAATACAATTGTTTATTTCTTCTTGTTATTCTTCACTCACCTTAGCTATGTAGATTTTCCATTTGATAAGATTAAAAAAGCAACAGGATGGTACAGCATTGTGTCAACGCTGCTAGTACGGATTTTTCTTCTTATAATTCCAAAACTCAGCGTGATGCTATTGATGTTGTCGGCAGGTAAAACAATATTTTTTCAAATATTAAATTTGAGGGCGTGATTAATTCTGTTCTTCAATTCGAATAGTAAATCATCGTCAATAACCAATGCACTTGATCATCATATTCGTACAGTGGGTTCAATGCATGCTGGCTCGATTGATTTTGTTTCAAATGTTTTACCAATTCAAGCACAATCTTCATCGTCGTCGACATCCACCGAGCAACTACCGCCAGATCCGAATGCATGCTATAAAACTAATACAACTGCTTCTCTGACATCATCATCCGGTTATGAATCAGTCTTATCACGTTCTTCAAAATCGCATAAATCATTATTTTTTCGTCTTAAACGTTTAATTAATTTTTCTTCAACAAAAAAGTCTTCGGATTATCCTATATCGACAATAACCGATTATAGTGATCAAAATAATTCGAATTCACCTTTTCTATCATTCTGTAATCCGATGGCGACATCAAAAATGAATCATCCTCATCCAACAAGACAAAATTCATTAACACGACTGGACATCAAACGAAAATCATCTCGACGAACATTACCGCCAGCTTCACAACATATTCCTTTTCTATATGGACTTAAAAATTGTGGTAATACATGGTAAGAAAAATATTTTTTGGTTAGCTTGGCGTGCTATATATATATATATATAATGAATATATAAAAACAAGCGAGTTTCCCCGAACGATCAATCATCATCAAAAAAAATAGCTCAAGTTCTTTCGAAATTTTCACCTTTTATATTTTATTGCGCATGTTAACTTGAACTAATTTGTTTTTTTTCTCTTTTGTAATCGTGAATACGCTATGCTTGTCAAGAAAATGTCTCTTCTTTTAGTTATATTAATGCGATTGTTCAATGCTTATGTCACACAGAACAATTAGCATTGTATATTCTTCGAAAAACTTATGAACATGATATGCGTAATATTAAAAATGCCATAGGTGATTATCCAAATTCGTCTCAACCATCTACCGGCTTTAAGGTCACAAAAACATTTGTACAAATATTTCAAGCACTATGGAACAATTCATCAAATACAACTTCAAAATTATTATATGACTTTAAATCGATTCTCTCAAATTTGAATAAACAATATTCCGGCAATGAGCAAAATGATGCCCAAGAATTTTCATTATTTCTTATTAATACAATTCACGATGAATTAAATTTAGCCAATGCTCAAAGACAAAGGCAGAAATCTAAGGTAAACTATTAATTGAATGAAATATAGACGATAAATTACTGACTATTTAGAATTCATTTTCTTCGACAATTGCATCATCCTCCATAGCTTCATCCGAATTAGCTCATCGAGCTTGGTCGGAATATAGTGATGCTAATCTAAGTATTATAACTTCAACATTCAGTGCTCAACTTCATTCAACTCTACGTTGTAATCAATGTAAACAAGAGAGTAAAACGTTTGAACCCTACCTATTATTATCATTGCCAATCCCACAAAAAATTATCAAGCCTGTTTTCGTTACTGTCGTTTTTCTCAATCAATCACCAAAACAATTACAAATCGGTTTATGCTTACCTGTAACAAATACTGTTAAAGACGTGCGAGAAGCCATAGCTCAACAGTCAAATCTTGACCCAAACGATGTAAGTTTTCAGTTTTGAAATAATAAGGATTGTATGGTTTAAATCAACAAACCGAATACATGGAGCTTAGCAGAGAACGGCTTCCTCTATCTAAATGATGCATTTCTAAGCAAATTCTATTGCGTAGCTTCGAGAGTGAAAATAAACTCCTTTATTCATATTTCAGAATTACCCAGTAGTATTTCTAAAATAGATGTATTATTACGTAGAGGATATCTACATATATTTTGTGACACGAATGAAAAATCGCATTGATACTTTTGTATTTACACTTCAGAATTTTGAATAATTTTATTGATCTTCGCCTACAGATCATAATTGAAAGTCAAAATCAAGGACATTTTTACGATTGATCTTTCTTTTTCATTTAGCTTGTACTCATTGAAATTCAACAAAATGGATTTTCTCAAGTTTTTCATGATACCGAACCGATTAATCGTCTTACAGATGATGTTTATGCGATACAATTTCCTTCGTCGAATTCAGAAAGTATTGAACATGTTGCATCAACGACGGATGATGCACCTCCAGCTTACGTTAATCTACTTGTTCTTAATCGTGTACGATATAGTACTGGTCGTTCTGAAAGATTTGGTGCACCGATAGGTAACAAATAAAATAATATACTCGTTCATTTAAAACAGAAGTTTTTCTTTTGTTTAGTTGTTCGTGTTCCTCGTCAATCAAATTATCGTGTGTTACAATTATTAATAATAAAAGCGGCACGTTCATTGATTCGTGAAGAAGTTATGGAACATGCTCAAACCTATGTTGTTTTTCAATTAACACTTGTTGATCAATATCAGTCAACATCATTCGGAACCGTTAAACAAGAATATTCTATTCCTTATGGTGTACAATTACCACTTTTTCTTGAAAAAACTGTCGAAATTCTTGATGCTTATGATGGTCCTGGTATAGGACCATCACATTTACAAGTCTATGCGAATTGGAATGAGAAACATGTAGGAGAATTTTTATCGAAATGGCCCTATAGTGATGATAAACCAGATATACATCAGTCCGTTACACATGCCCGTGCAACATTACATCAACCATCATCATCGTTGATTTCATTAGCAGATTGTTTTTCTTTATTTACACAATCGGAAAGTTTAAATTATGTAAGAAGAATAATTGAATTTTTCATGATAAAAGGTTTGATATTCAAATTTAGGATGATGCATGGATGTGTAGTCATTGCCGTCGTAAAGAAAATGGTACAGTAAAACATTTAAAAATTTGGACAACACCTTCTGTTTTAATAATACATTTGAAACGTTTTTGTCAAACAAAAGTATCAAATTCAAAATTAACTTATCCAGTGCAGTTTCCACTTTCCAATCTTAATATTAAACGATTCTTATCAACAAATAGAAATCTAACAGACAATGACGAAGATGATGAAAATGAAATAGATGATGAACAAGAAGATTCTATTGAAAATCAAGATGAAAAACAATATGGACTCTATGATCTTTTTGCAGTTTGTAATCATCGTGGTAGTATGTCAAATGGACATTATACTGGTATGATTTTTATGTTGCATTGAAAGGCAATGACAATAGAATTTACTATGTAGACTGTACTACTGTAAACAATAGAAAGAAAAAGGATTTTGAAAGATATTTATGAGTCTAATGCAAGTAGGAAACAACTGATTAATAAGATAAATGCTATGCCAATTTTTGAGAATAAAATTTTTCCTTAATTCAATAAATAAAATCTTATTTGAAAAAGTAACTCTACTTTTTCATTGGGTATATATCTCTTCGATTAAATATTGTATATTTCTATTTAAGCTTATTGCAAAAATCCAATAACAGACAAATGGTTTTGCTATGATGATCATCTTGTTTCTGAATTAGATCCGTCTCGTGTATGTACACCTGATGCATATATATTGTTTTATAAACGTCGTGATACACCACTATCTCAACCCACACAGCCCATTCCAAAATCTTTACCGATACAACAACAGGATCATATTGATTCAATTGTTAATGATTTTGATGAACATTTAAATCTTGATCAATCATGTCCAGTAGAAAATACAAAGCATCATGATATTGTACAAGCACCATCCCCATTGCCACGAAAATTATTAACACCATTATCTTCAGCAGTATCTGACGATGAATGCTCACGACCACCTTGTCCGATGCCGCGAACGCTTATATCAAAGCATGAAGTACATACGATGTCTCAACCAATATCATCTGACCAACAACCAACGGTTAATTCTATTCCATCATCTGAACCATTAATTGATTTTAATACAGAGAGAATAAGTCCATGGAGTCGTTTTAATAACCATCGATATTCTAGAGATGAACTAGAGAGTAATGTAGTCTATCATGCAAAAATATTAAGATAGATTTATTGTTGAAATAAATATTGTCCTATAACAGTAAACATATATATATATATATATATATATTGTTTGATTCAAGCCTTGTCTATTGTTTGTTTGTACAGTTTATATTTCTGCGTTAGAGTTTTTTTGCTGATTTAATTGTTAATCTGCGCACGATGAATTGATTCATTTCGTTGTTTTTCTTTGGGTTAGCTGTGTACATAAACATACAAATCAATAGAGTATTTCAATTAGTGTGATGCGTGTTTCTTTATGCAGGACTATTGATATAATAAGAAAATATTTCAAGTGAAAAATAAAAATAAAATATTTATTTCTGAAAAGCAGATTTTTATTTGAAATAAATACAGACTGATCAAATTCATGTTAGAAGAAAAAATATCGGTGATTTTCTTTGCAGTTTCAAAAGTATACAGAATAGTATCTGTAAATCGAAAAGTAAGTTAGTTCTCGTATAGGTAATCATTTCAATTTTAGAAATAGATTTGAACCTTCATCATCACAGGTATATGGTGATTTGTTAATGTCAACAGATGGCACTATATTGCTTTTAACTTAAAACAAGATCTTTGTTCATTGGTCTATGGACTTCTCTTTGTGACTTCACTATCTCTTCATAAAAAGACATCTACTTTTCCCCAGTTTACATGAGGGTGTGATTATCCTTAAGTTAAATTCATATCAAACTAAACAATTTGATCATCTGATATCTTGAGATACAGAGCAGGAACTATTTTTACATAATTTTAGATTGTCTCTCGAACAGAAAAAATGAAATGTTTTAAAGATTGAACTAAATTGATTATTCGTTTCGTTGATGTACCTTTACTCGTTAAAGGTGATATCGAACAAAAAAGAATAGAGGGAAATGTTTTGAAGATTTCTACTATCTGTCTGATTATTCACATTATGATATAAACTAACCAAAATTTCAACAATATGCAAAGATATTTTTCCCGCTCAACATAAACTGGCAACCAGTGCTCTTTGCAACATACTCATTGTAACTAATCTGCTGCATACCTGGATTAACAGCAGCTGCTGAATAGTAAAATTACGGTTTATCTGAACAGAAGTATTGTTTCTTCTACTCAAAACATTCATATGGCTACTAGGTATTTTATTGAAAAATCAAAGTGTTTCCGTAGGAGTGACCAATACAATGTCGAAATACAACTCCTTGGTTTTAAGCATCTATGTTTCTAAAGCTTGCTTACGTTAAGTAATGTATTTGTTAATAAAGGAACTAGTCAGCAGTATTAACGCATTGCAGCTACACAAATGTTTTTATTTGAATCGAATGCGATACTTCATACTACAAAGTGACCTATTGCTAATGCTACTAATCATCAAGTTATAAATACACCTATATAATTGATTTTTTTTGAAGATTATAATACTGAATTAGTAATGTATTTCGATGAACAAGATATTCTGTATACTAGATATTATTCATTCAGATATTAATGCAAGAAAACAAAATGTTATATTTGAAACGGAAGAATTGAATATGAACAGTCGTACAATTAAACAAATAACACTCTCAGAAATTAAGCATCTAAGAACGGTAACTTTATCGTCACGAAGATTTAAGCGATACTTTAACAAACAGCAAACATATAGATATCTGGGATTCAAATTTACAAAAATACATATATCTCATCGAATCTCTTGGATGAAAATTTTGATCAAATGAACATAAGATACAAATACAACAGCGATTCAAATTTGCATATTAATCACTATAAAGAATCATATTAACATAATTCGCTATTCGCGTGCTATAGATTAATAGTATAGTCAAGTTTCTCATCGAAAACAAATCAAAACAGCTTTATTTAACGCATATGATAATAAAGTTCACAGGTATAATGAATATAAGAAGAACAAAATATAGCTTTCGACGAACCGAACACATCACAGATTTATGACTGTTAATGGGTGACCAAAACTAGAAGATATCCTATCTAACCACCCTTATTATCACCCTCATAAAAATGTAACACATGGGAATTAATATATTTTCGTCATGACAAAATACCCAGGTCGAACATTCCGGCCGCCGGATCCCGTAGGATACTCCAAGAAATATTCTGGAAAGTCACCATATCCGGCAGGAAAACACGGGAAATCGATGGAACATGGAAGCAGTATTCCGGTCAAAAATACGGCCGGACTTTTCCCGGATAAGCTCTGCCAAGTTCCGGTGCTTTCCGGCAGGAATTGATCGAAAATCAACGGAACTACCTGAAACCGGCCGTTTCCAGGCCGAATTGTTCGACCTGGGTACTTGATCTAACTTTTAATAGTCATATGGCACCTTCTCAAATTTTACTACAAAAGAATAGTGTTGAAGCTATAATATATGACTATTTTTGCAAAGTACAAGATTGCTGATGTAATTTCCAGTGATCAAGAAATGCACTACAATAATAAATCGATGAAAAAAATGCATTTTTAAACAGATAAGTATACACTCATCGGTATCATCGTTATCATCTTCAAACTAATCGTACGGTGAAACGATTTATTTTCTCCTTTATCTCACAAATATGCGAATGAAAAAATTAGAAAATTATAATTGGTATAGGACTTTATCTAGAAGCACTTGCGATTAGGTGTAATGAATTTGTTAAGAAAGCCACAAAAATTCTCAGCATATGAATCAGTTTTTATGATCATCCAGCCTATCGTCCCATTCAGTTATAACCGTGCGGCAATTGATTTACACCATGCTACTATTACTTGAAACAGTTAAAGAAAACTTGAGAAAAATATTCTCAATCAATAAAAACAAAACAATGCTTGCTTGAATGAAGCAAGTATAATAAAAAAGAATTATTTTACAATGTTGTTGATATATTGCGAAATAGAAGTGATGATATCGATGGAAGATTAGATCTCTCATCCCAATAAAAAGCTCAATTCATTAGAAAAGTTCGCACCATCCAACTCAAATGATTTTCAATGAAGCGATATAGACTGACAAATAAAAAAATATGAATAACGTATGATCTATTTTTGTCAGTCATAAGTATGACCCACATATTTCAAATTCAACCCTATAACATAAAACCGCAGTAAAATATTTTTAATCATCTCCTATGTTTCACAATTTCCTTCATGATTCTTGTATGCTCACCTGTATCGTGCAGCAATTTGTCGCACAAAATTTGTTTTTTCCTGGAAACAATAGAAAGATGTGTATTTTTTCGTCAACAACTCCTTTTCATCTCTTAATTCTAGGTCATAGAGGTACGGTGGGAAACGACCGGAAAGCCCAGGAAATCGCTGGAAAGTGGAAGCAGTATTCCGGTCGGAAATTGACGGATTTTTCCTATGAATTCCAATCATCTTCCAGCTGGGAAGCATAGAAAACTGACCGGAATACTGCTTCCAATTTGTAGCGATTTCCTGGGCTTTCCTGTCAGATACGGTGATTTTTCCGCATCTTTCTGGTCAGTTCCTACAGTGTCCGTCCTCCGGAATCATTAACGTGAGTATCGACTCGATCTACTGCAAAATTATTATTTAGTATATTAATCATTGTAGGAGCAGTCGGATTTATAATTCTATATAAAAGGAAAATGCTATTTTCGTTATGAAATAAAATTGATTATTGTTATTTTTGTAACCAGTGAAAGGTTTTCAATGTTATTGCTATTCACTGTTTCATAATAATAATGATAAATAGTCATGATTTGATTTTTTCGAGCTTCCGATTGAAACATTATAGGCATTATCAATATATATTGATTCATGATATTTCATATTATAGTTTGTTCTATTGAAAGATAAAACAACAATAGTAAATTCTGTTTCATTACAAAAAAAAGGATTTTCATTTATATAATATAATTTATTTTGAACTCATATTATTCTACATATTTACAAATACTTTATCGAGTTATCTTCGCCCGCAATCGACTTTGCGAGCAGGTCTTAGTTTTCCAAGAAAATCTATTTTTACGTACCAACCGTATAACCAATATAATCACTGACAAATTACTCCTCAACAGCGCTTCTTCAATCGATCGTAGGGAAGAAACTATTTGCGTTAATAAATGTTACTGTAATTTCCCCTCTTCTTTTGTGTTCTAATCTCTTAATAACATTTCAGTGATTCATCTATGTTTCTTAGCTGCTTTATTTATTTACTTTTCTACGTGCTTTAATACCATTTGTTCTTTTACCACTGTGAAATTCAATAGTGTTCGTTTCATTAACTATTCAGGTACTAGCTAGAAACATGGATGTTCATTATACATCTACAACAAATTCATAAACGAAATTACATATATTGATTTTTTGTCATACGTCATATCCTGAAACACGCTTCTCTTGTAAATTCACTGGACACATATAGACGAAAGATTTTGATAGTTATAGTACATACAGATTACTTATGATACACAGGTAGGAACCGTTGACAATGAAAGGATAATCTCAAATGTTTTATCAATCAGAATGAGGACGAGTTCTCTACGAAATGCGATATCCACGAGTCGCCTAAAAAATATCAATAGCCACCAAGAACCTTACGTTTTTTCCAAGCTAATACTAGTAATAAGATGGAGACACAACATAGTAAAATTTCAAATATGCAATATTTGGCGCTATTAGTGTTGTAATATATACATTAAGATCCCAAGTCGATGATTTCCTGTGTTTTCCTATGGGAATCAGCCAGTGGCGGAGTCAGGATTTTGGTCTAAGGGAGCTCAGCCCCCTCATCTATTGAGTCATAAGACAATTTTTTCTATGTACTTTGATTTTTTCAATAGGATGATGTGCCGATATTGATGGCACACTTCGATGATTCTACTTCATCCTTCTTCTGTTCTCCTTCCATTGTTCTAATATCTCTTTCTCTCCTGCCTCTCTCCTATATATACTTGTGTTATGTATAAAGTTGTTACACTCTGGATATGTGAAGAAGCGAATAAACATCATTGCCGTGAGTGGCGGTAAGCTACTCCACCTCTATCCAGTTTGTCATTACAATATCAACCCCAAAATAAAATCGCGTATTTATCGATACAGATGGGTTGCAAAAATGTTTACGATTATTATATCTGATAGTGCAGCAAAACCGCATCCAACTGAAGCATGTTCTTAATGCCCAAAAAAGAAAAAAAAATTGAAAAGATCAATCAAAACTGAAAAAGTTTAAAAACTTGACTATTATTGTTTGTCGACTATTACTCATATCTGAAGAGATTTTTGAAAGATGTGGTTTTATCTAATCCAAAAATGTATTCATGCGTGATCGGAAAGTTTTCAGGCAAAATGTTTTTTCCCTTGTAACTCGACGGAAAGCAATTTTCGACTAGCTCAAAACTATTATTAGTTACTATCAAAATTTGGTGACCGTTTTGGAAATTGACCTAGAATTCTCTGTTTTTCTTTGAAAGTGATCAGTGAAATAGTCCTCAGAAAACCAAACCAATAGGCTAAGATAGAATTTTTTTCCGTACATTTTTGTATTTTGGCTTCCAGTTCGAAACGAAAACTTCGTATCCGGCCCTATAAATCAGCTTGCAGAACAGAAGATATCCTAAAAAATGTACTATATGAAGCTGTTTGACTTTCCCTAAGGCATCTCAGTTACTGTTCTTCCAAAAACTCATTTCTAAAAAATCGACTTTTCGCCAAAAATCATGTAACATTACGAGGAGCTCTTAAGAAAGGCGTGCAGAATTAATTGATGTAAAGCTAGTTTAAATTAATGACCCACTTTTTCTGGAAGTGTCCGCTCCAGAAAATGACGGATTTCGACAATTCTTAACATATTTGTAAAGTAGCTTACGGTTCAAACAAAAAATTGTTAGCGCACCATGGAAAGTAACTTTTCACGCTCTGCACTAAATCCTTCACTATATTCGAATAAGAGTATCCACAATATTTATAAGCCCATCTTCGAAAAAGTGCAAATCATTAGTCATGGAATAACGTTCGACTCGTCTGAAATGCATTCTAGGTGAGTGGTAATGAAGAAAATATTATCTGACAATCTTTCAATCATTAGTTATGTGTTGGAAGGATAGATTATAACCTCTAGAACCTGATTGGGAATTAGAATTACAGTATTGTATTCTCTTCCGAAACAGCTACGAGCTTCACACAATAGCTAAAGTATTCAAATATTCAATTGCAAAGACTTATACATCTTTTTATAAAAGCAAATTCATCCCTCAAAAATTTGGCTAGGGGCTGAGCCCTCCCTCCCCCCACCCCGGCTCCTTCACTAGAATCAGTCCGGACTTCTCGACCTAGAGTACATTTTGATATACTAAGCATAGTTCTCGCATATATCCCACTTTCGTCTTGTTCTCCATTAACTGGCAAGCGTCTACTCAACTGTAGCCAATATTGGCGAAAAACGACTATACTTTCGCACATGATTAGCGAAATGCTTATTAGCGAAGAGCGGGAATTCCAGAAAAGTGAAATAAACAATTTTTGGCCTGAAATTTTCTTAATTAATAGGTGTACTGAACTGTAAAATACCCTGACATTTTTAGTCATAATAAATACGTTCTTCTCATTATCCTCACTTTTTTCAAAAACTTCGCTTCTCTATTGTTTTCAGAAGAAAATGGCATGTTCTTGAAAAAGTGAATACATTGAGAAGAGCTGTTTCATTGAAGCTAAAAAAATGCTACAATATTTTACTATTCAACAGACCTATTTAAGAATAAAATTTTCGACTTGAAAGGTTCACTAGGCAGTATTTTTAGAAAACTAAAGAAAAGTAATTTTATCACAAACATATACTCTTTCGATTTGATATACATAGATATAGATAGATATATTAATTATTATTCTAACGTAAGGCGCAAAATAGACGAAATGGTTCGAAAATTGATTCTCAGCATAAAGCAAAATCGACAAGTAAAAATCTGATTGTTCATATGCACGAGAGAGGAGATTTCTGACTGTAATAAATAACCTCATATACGCAAGCATGTGTTGTCAGATAGATGGCTATACAAATAATAGAGATTAAGAATATCTTTTATTTTCGAATTAAATGGATAATGTTCAAAACAAGTAAATCACAAAAATTCATGTCACAGATCTGATAGGAATGATATTCTATTCACTGTTATTGACACTTAAATTGTATATATGCATTTTATTAACCTGGAAGGTTACCGAATATTATAGAAAAACAGACATTAACTGTCAAACAAGTGAATATGATTTAAAATAAGCCAAAGTCGTGAATATCGCTGGTCACCAAAGCTAGATGAAAGTAAGAATTTGATTGACTGATCAGAGAACTCGTACAAGAATTAACCGGACTTGTGGAGAATTTGCTAGTTTTTTGGAAATTGGTCAGCAAAAACATAGTATCACAGTGCTTGAGAAAAAATATTTTTTTTCGAGATCTAGAGATCAAATCCTTGCTGCCCGTTCAGAATACAACTACTCTACATATCAAATAATATTTTGTCATCACATCGATATTTTATTTTTTGTGAAACTTGGGCATAGCGTAGTTTCCACTCAATGAAAACTTATTGGTTTTTTAATGCTTGATACCACTACTTATGAATATGTGGTAACTGAGATTAAGATGACATAAATTGACTTCAATGAAAAACTGTAACCTTTAGAAAACGGCAAGCTTCTAAAGACAGATACAGTGAACCATTTACATTAATTTAAAACTAAGTCTACAGTCATCAATTGACAATAAGTATCAAATATGAAGTGCTTAGAACAAAACAAAATACTTTAAGTTTAATATTAAATAAAACCACTTAATAAGTATCATTGATTAACTCCCATCAAGTAAAATGGTCTATTCCTATCAGAGAATGTTTCAGAATAGCTAGAAATGGATAGAAATGTTCGAATAAGTTCCACCCCCCCCCCCTCCTCCTTGACTGCTATAGTCAACTTTCTTATAGTTCATATATATATTTATAAATATCGAAAAATCATTTAGATTTTAAAAAAGAAAGTCAGTGAAGACAAGAGATATGTCAAAGATCTCAATGAGCGCCTGTAGAAATTATAAGAGACTTGTATCGCATTCGAAAAACATATCACAGTAACAAGTAATATGATATTTGTGATAGAAATACTCTTGATATTTAAATTAAGTTTTTCAGAAAAATGAAAGACCTTCGTTCGTCAATCAAATGCTTATTTAATATTTATTTTAAGGTCATTGAAAAGAATATCTCCTTGCGTTTCTAACAGATGCATTAACTTTAAAAATGATGCCATTTGATAGATTTCTTTCGGATACACACTTGAAAATGTAAATTATTATTGACTCCTCGATAGTTTCATAAATTAGTAGTATCTTGATCAACACATTTTAATAAATCTATATAGAGATCAATGCTTATATAGAGAAAAAAATAAAGAAGTTAACATTCGGCTGTTGCATAACGATCGAAATAATTTCATAGCGATTTAACTCAATCTTCAAACTTTTGACTTTCTAAACAAACTGGAATCCAAATAGACTACTCTTTTGCGAATGTTGTCGATTAATATTATAGGTTGATGTATAATTCTGTCAAAAAATATATTTGTACAGCACATTTATCAATTTTTCAGTAGTTCATGTTCAGTTTTTAGTATTGTAAAATTATTTTCACGGACCATTCACAAAAAAGTGCATTTTTTCGTCTTTCCTCTATACCATTAATGTTTATGTATAATTGCCATCGTTTCGTAAATAGTGCCTTAATTATATCGTTGTATAAAAAGTGTGTTAAAAAATAATCTTTGTTTTATTTTTTACAAGCACCTATTGATAATTGAAAATGATAACAAGCACAACCAATCGAAAAGAAATTGAATTAATTTCAAGGGAATATTTTTTGGTTAACTGTAATGTTTTACTAAAAGAATCGACATCGTTATCCTATCAGAAGTAATTTACTATTCTATATATCAAATTTTATTGCGTACGTTTTGCTTTCTTTTGGTGCACATACCCTAATAAGATATTCTGGCCTTGGCCCTGACTGTCTGTCAATCGTTATGCTTATTTTTGATTGGTTATGAAGTCTACTAATTGTCTGGCATATGTTGACAGGTAGCGCTAGTAATGTTTGGTTTTTTCGCATGCAGAAAATCGAAAATATCTTTTAAAAATCGAAAAATTCTTCTTCAAATTAATTAATTAAAATACAATATTTTGTAATTATTTGATTGGTAGATTATCTCATGTCTTTGTTGACTGACCTTGAGGAGGCTCCTGAAACGACGATGGCGATCTTTTTTCTCCGACTACACATGCCCTCTTTTGTCATTTATTCTTTGTCTGTCGATGAGTTCATTTCAAAAAAGATATTTGTGCATTGATCGAAGGTTATTTTATTAGTTGAAAAAAAGTTGCACAAAGATCTGATTTAAATAAAGTAAGAAAGATGGAGCTAAATTGAATAAATTATTTTGGGTTTTTTTTAAACTTATTGTTTCAAAAGTAAATATTTTTTCTCACGTCTAATTGTAGCCAATTGAATTGCGGCTATTTGACAATTCAAATTTTTATTTTCTAGTTAAACTAGAATTATTGAAATAAGAAAGTGATTTTGATAAAACAAACGTGTTCTTGTCGGAAAAATGTTTTTATTAAATAAAAATTTTTATTTCTAGATAATATATTTTTTGTTTTTTAATTTATTGTTAATACTTATCGGCCGCGAAAAGCTCATGCTGATCGCGTGTCATTTATCATCATGAGTAAAAAGTCGATAATATTATCTCCATTAAAACGACCGTCGACTCGTTCATTATCATCAACTGCAAAACCTTCACAAGAAGAAGATAAATATACATTTCAATCTGACGACGAAGATCACAATACAAAACCTACACTTGTACGTAAATCGAATACACCGATTCTATCCAAACGTCCACGTGGTCGTCCACCAAAAACTCCCAAACTCGAAGAAACTCCTATACGTGCATCAATATCTTCATCCAATAGTGAAGTAGAAGAAAAGAAACGTCCAGGCAAACGTTCATACGAAAAACCAGTTACACGTCGTGCATCACGTCTTGGCTCTCAAACCAACACACCTGTCAGTCAAATTCGTGAAAAAATAAAAATAAATTCAACTCCTCCAATTATCATTACACCGAAAAAGCGTGGTCGAAAACCAAAAATGCTTTCAACAACGTCTTCAACATTAGATGAACAACAAAAAAATGAAACAGAAAATGTTGTTCCATCTCCATCAATAAAACGTCAATATATTAAAAAGTCCATGGAAGATAATACTAATACAAAAGTTGATGATAAAGATCTTATGCAATTCGGTTCGCCAGAACAAGACGATTTTAGTGATGATTCAGTTGATTTTGTGTGGAAAGGTTCAAGTAAAATGTCCATTGAAATACTTAAACGTCGTATCCCAAAAGATGAAACACGTGATCAATATTCATCTTCAACAATACAATCAGATCCAACGGCACAACGTAAACGTGCTATTATACCACGTTTAACGAATTTTGATGCTTTATCAGGACAGCCAATTGATAATTCAGCAGCAAATAATGATACAAATAATAATACTGAAGAACGTTCAACGAAAAAAAGTAGCTCTGTTATTACATTAAATAATGCATTTCAAAATGATTTTGATTATTCATATAATGATATGGGTACAAAAATGAGTACAACAACAACAACAGGCGAAGATGATAAACCTCGTCCTCGTGTTTATGCAGTTAAAAGTACGACACTGAAATCACGTTTTCAACCACAACCTCAACAGCAGCAACAACAACAACAGCAGCAGCCAGATATAAAACGACCTAAATGGATGAGTGATCAACAGGGCAAAGCTGATGAAGAGGAAGAGGTAGAACATTTGCCAACAACTACTGAAGAACCTACTGATTATGATTATGTACCCAAGGGTAATTATTTGCCAAAACGTCCAAATTATCGTGGACGTGGAACTTATCCTGGCCGACGCGGAACAGGTATGCGTGGACGACCACCAGGTTCAAGACGTCATTGGAATAATGATGATGACGATGATGATTATGATCAGTATGAAGATGCCAATTCACGATATGGCCCAAGAAAACAAACTGCTTATAGATCAACAAGTAAATAAACAACGTTTTCTTTTCTTTTATTAGACAATCATTATTTTCTCTCTTTTCAAGGACCTATGTATGACATGGCTGATGATGAGGAATATGATAAAAATCGTCGTATGAGTTTAACACAAGCTTATCGTCGTAATAATGATGTCCGACAACCAATTGGGAATCGTCGTATTGGAATGAACAATGGAAATCATCCAGTATATAAAGTAAGAAAATAATACCGCTCAAACAAAATTCTAATGTTTTACACTGAATAGTTTATTCATATACTTAAAAACAATCTATCCGGAAGATAGATTGCCAAGGCTACAGACATACCATATTTATATTTCATTTTTCTAGGATGATGATTATTATCATCATCATCAACAACAACAACAACAGCACCACCAACAACAATCACGTTCAACAACGACAACAACAATGAATCGTCTTCCAACAACGCATACAACTTCGATGAATGCTGGTAATACGTTTGTTGCAAAAATAAATGATGCACAATTAAGTGATGGTGTTAATCAATCACAAATATTCTTTGTTAACATGCCGCAACAAGATCAAAAGAATCAACAAGTTCTTTCTGTTCTTGCATCTGAACAACAACAAGTTCTGCCAGTCGCTGTTGTTCAACAAGCGAAAGTTGAAAATTCATCATCATCAGCTAATTCAGGAACATCACAAAATCAAACATTAGCATTTACAGTTAAGCTTCCTGTTGATACACCGAAACAAAAGAAAATCTTACCAAAGCCATCATCAACAAGTTCACAAGCCAATTCAACAGCATCCAACTCAGCAACAAACAAACCATTTGCATGGTCCCGTCCCCCAGGTCGTATACAAATAAATAATGATGATCAAAATTCGGGTAAAGGTTTAACCATAACACCAATTAATACAGATTTAGATACGATGGAAGCCGCACATGTTTTAGCAACAGCAGCCGATGTCACAATGGCCGCTGATGCACGACGTAAAGCACAACAACATGATGATGATATGAACATGATGAATGATGAAACACCATCGAATATAGCTAACGAAGAAACTGTTCAATGTGAAGAGGATGGACAGAAAAATCAAATGCAACAAATGGGCACAATCACAGCTAATATTATCGATGAAAATGGCGTTGAACATACAGTTCTTCTATCAACTGAAGAAGCACAGCAATTGCTTGGTTCACAAGGAGCCATTATTGTCGATGGGGGTAAGTATTTATTATAAGCGAAATTTACCTATTCTCGGAAAAGACAAGTATCTAATATGCTATGTTATTATTTGAGATGGTCATCAAATATCAATTCAACAAGCCCAAACTCAAACATTTCTTTCTCCATTTGCACTCGATCAAGCACAATTACAAGCATTACTTGCTCAAGCTGGTATCGATCCAAATACACCATTGACAATCGAACAGATTGATCCTAATCAACAGCAACAACAAGTTGCGACTTTGTGTACATCACCTGGTGGAACACAATATACAGTTCTTACACAAGGACATCCTCAACAGCAACAACAATTTATTTTACAACAAGCCCTACCGGCCGAGCCTATTGCACCACCTCCTCCTCCACCACCGCAACTCATAGCTCCAAAAGAAGATCCTTCGTCACCACCGAAACGTCGAGCATTTGCGGTTAAATCAACAATGTCAACAGCAGCCGAAACATTCGACGATATGAACGAAAGACCAAGACGCAAAATCTTTGCAACTAAATCAACTGTCACACCTATTGGTAAGATTTCAAAGAAATAAAAACGTAAATTCTGTCGTTTTCTTTGTAGAACAGATGGATGATGAAGGTATTACTGGTACTCGTGCATATCATCGAAAATAACATTTCATTCTTTCTTTCTCTTTTGTTCATTGTACAAATTGTCTTGTCACTGCTGTTTTAGTTTGCATTCTGCTTCTATCTCGCATAACTCTAAGAGTACATAAGCGAGTTACTCTCTATGATATACATTTAGTAGATTTCATTTATTCTTTTTCTCTTTATGTACCTATATACATTTTTTGTTCTTGATATTAGCCAGCCACGTTCTATTTCGTGTAAGTTTATGTGTGTATGAGTGTGTACAGTGTGAATTTGTACATGAATACAGAAAAACAAACAAAGCAAACTATTGAAAGAAAAACAATATATATTCTGTATTGACATGTTCCTTTGGTTTTTGTGCATCCTCCTTTGCTGCCTTGTTTTTTTTCAGTATTATATCAATGGTTGATGATTTCATGTGAAACAAAGAGTTTGTTTTTTTTTTGGAAAAAAGAGAACAATAAATCTTTTTTTCTTGTCACGAAGTAGAGTAAATGATGCATTATGACTAATGTCTATATACTTATCTATTGCTTCAGACTGAAAAATACTATAAAAAATAATGATTGTTTTCTCACCTTTTATTTTATTTCATTCTAATCAAAACCAAGTGAGTGACATATTAACTTGTAGTTCGAAGTCGAAGAGATTGTTGGCGGACTCTGCTATCTGACACCATGGATAGTCAAATGGATTTGAATTAAAATTCGAAGAGGTTTTTGATGTACTAAGAGTCCAAGTATCAATTTACAGGTTGTATTAAATTGTTTCATATCCCACGTGAATGAATCCTATCGAATCTCATGAGATCTGACAAGCCGGCAAAATCCGATTAGATTCCTTGTCACGAACCTACTAACGGATCCGACGGAAAAAAACATTTTATTAATTACTCAGGTCGAGCAATCATATTGTAAGATCTGATAAGATCTTGCATCTGATCTTATATGATCTTGCACGATCATACGGAAATCATACAAAAAATCGTAGTTCCTGAGATCTTAGATTAGGTTGAACAGTCAGATTCTTCAAAGATCGTATTAATATGTAAGATCTTTCAAGAATCTGACTGTACGAAAATGATCTAAGATCGCAGGAACTACGACTTTTTGTCAGATTCTTGTAAGATTTCACCCGTATTCCAAGATTTTGTATGTGCTTCATAAGATCTTGTGTCAGATTTTTCGACCTGGGTAAGCATATGGTGTGAACAGAACACATGAGTCGAATGCTTATGTTGGATTCCGATACTGGAACCTGTCGGATTCCAACACTAGGGTTCCGATTGTAGGTCCCACGCCCGGATACCGATAGGATGTCGTCGGTTTCATGAAGTCTATACTATATCCGATAAGATTCCGGCACGAATCCGACAACATCTCACTATCGGAACCATGCTCCTGGGTAGCGGCGAATGTTTTGGTTTTGTAGGCTTTCGAAAACAATTTTGATTTTCATGTCATGTAAAAGTTCAATGGTACGAGAAGATCGATTTTGGAGGTTTTTACTGTATAAGCTATCAATCATCTTGAAATACCCAGGGCGAGAAACCAGACGGGAAGATCTTGCAAGAATCATACGTTTGATCATATCTGATCTGATAAGGTCAGACGAAAAATCGTCGTCTCTGATTTCTTACACTAAGTCGTATCAGAAGATTCTTGAAAGGTTCTGTTACCGATAAAAATATCACTCCCAGGTCGAAGAATCTGATACAAGATCTTGGAATATGTGCGAAGTCTTACAAGAATCTGACAAAAAATCGTAGTCTCTGAGATCTTAGATCAAGTCTCACAATCAGATTCTTGAAAGATCGTACACATTGATAAGATCCTTCAAGAATCTGATTCTGCGACTCGATCTAAGATCTCAGAGACTACGATTTTTTGTCGGATCTTACAGGATCATATAAGATCAGATGCAGAATCCTATCAAATCTTAACATCTGATTGTTTGCTCTGGGCTGTGATATTTTAATTAAACTAATATCTCCTTAAAATATTACGACAAATTTTTATTGAAAATAAATTGCATGTGTGATCTTTAAATAAAATATAGTGTGATCTGATGCAAGATTTGAGAGACGACGATTTTTTGTCTGATGCTTATAAGATTTCGTTCGGATTGTGAGATCTGACGTCCGGACTGCAAGATCTTACGTCAGATTTTTCGACCTGGGTAGAATTTTTTGTTAATCAACTCGATTATATGAAGCGGCGCTAAAAATGTTTATTACAATTTTTTTAGAGATTTCCAATGTTAGCGGCTTATCTATGTGTGATCCCGATGGGTTAGTAGTGTTAAGTTTTGCATCTTACACTTTTAAGACAGTTTCTATCAAAAGTTATGTTCGCAAGACAAATCTGCATTCGATAAAAGATAATTGTTAAAATTTGTCATAAGCTAACGATTGAATTTTGATGTCGAACAGCATATAGATGTATAAAATGATTGAGAACTAATTGAATAGGGAAAAGAACATATTTAGTGCACTCGTCAAGAGATTAGACTAATTCTTAAGAGCATTTAGCATTACGTATTTCTTATCAGTATAACAATTTAAAGATAATTTTTGCATTTTATCTCCCCCATTATAGCGCCTTTATCGATGAGGATGCACAAAAGTATTCAAACAGTTTTGTTTTTATTTTTAGATTCATATATATATATATATATATATATAAATAATCTTCTTTAAACAATGTCATTTCTTCGAATGTTGTTTACATTTTCATTGGGTGTTTATACTGGTATTTATACAAAACAAAATTATGATGTTCCAAAAATTGATTCACCTAAAGAATTATATGAACGTGCCAAAGCCTATATGTCGATGAAGAAAAAAGCTGATGAATGAGACAAAAAACCTATTTAGCTATCATTTATTTTATTCTTTTATAAAAAAAAATATTAAAAAAAATGTATGAAACTATTAGATGAAGCAAATAATGACAATACTAATAATTATTATAATTTAGTTAGATGAAAATATTATACATTATAGTTTTCTATTGTATGTTTCTATCAGTGATCGATTGTTGTCTATTGTTGAAAGTTAGAGCGCAGGAAAAAATTGATTGGATTCTTCTTTTTTTTGACTAGTCGTCAGAGATTTATCTCTTATTCTTTCAACTATGAATATTGTGTGTGTGTGTGTGTGTGTGATGTGCGAGTCTGTGAATAAACTCCCGGAAACAGATTGCATTCTTTCTCTCTCTCTCTCTTGTTTATGAGTTCTCAGTTCGTTGTCTTTTGTCTGGGTTATAAGTGCAAATAGGAACTGAGAACGCGAGACTTGACTACTATTGAGAAGATCTTGCTTTTCACATACAAGAAGAAAATGTCATAATGTGTAGTTCATTCTGTAGGCTGCCACAACTAGTTTGAGATCTATCTGAAGAAAAAACAAGCATGAGCGCGAAAAAAAAAGAAAAAGAAAGATGCCGAGTCGTTAATAGTTTTTCTCTTTCTTTCATTTTCTTGTCGAATAAGTCACGATCGTGGTATTAGAAAGAAAACCTATATGACAATAATGACAGCACACTAGTGAGAAAAGTCCAACCGTTCTATCACTTCATTCTCTTGTTTCCTTCGTGTGTATATGAAAAAAAAAGAAAAAAAAGAGAACTGCTGCAGCGAACAAAATATACACAGACGATGTAGGTCAAATGATCAAGGAATTGAATCATAATATAGAGAAGAGGAAACCGAACGATGAGAAACATAGAAAATACGAGAGAAAGAGAAAGAAATAAAAATCATTTGTTGTAGAAAAATAGCACGACGGCATCGACATATTGCCAATCGCCGTCATACTTGGCCGCTCATACAAACATATATCTATATCTGTCAAAGACGTGATTTGTTTCATATACGAACAGGTAAAATAAAAACATAGAAACTATCTTTTTTTCTTCTTCTCGTTTTCCATTATGTTTAGTCATTTTTTATGATTAGATCGATGAATATACTATTTCGATTTCGAAGAACAACTGTGATGATAATAATAATGACAAGGGAGGAAATAGAAAAGAAGATGAAGAAAGAGAAGAAACATGAATCGATGTGTTATTGTTATTGTTGTTGTTACTGTAATGGAATAATATTACTTCAATGCACATCGTGATAAAGACAATTAGTTCGATATTGATCAGAATAGAGAGAAGCAAAAATTCTACCCAAATAAACATAGATAACTGGTTGATTTTCCACCATGCTCTTCTCGTCTTTTTTTTCTTCTTGCAGTCAATATCCATTGAGATGAATACAAATATCTAACCAACAGTAATCGCAAAATCTATCTTCATTCTTGTTGACAGTTAGTTGATGTCACGTCAGTTTTTTGTGACTGAACTTAAACCTAGATGAGATATATCGATAAATATGAATTATTCGTGTGCGTAAAGCAAAAAGGAGTAGATACATATATACTATCATGCACCGTACCGTTTTCTATTGCATGCATACGAAATAGCTTTTATTATATTGCCTAGAGAACAAGCAAACGTCTCCAGCTTTTTATAATCGATGTTGGCTGACTGCTTGTCTAAGTGAGATTGACAATGGCACACACGGGACACAATTTGACAGGATAGCAAATTGCGGAATGATAGGGAGCACCGTCTAAACAATAGACATCCATATAGAAACGGAGAATGCTTGTATGTCTTTAGATTGATATGAATAAGAGAGTGTTCAAAAGAAAAAATGCACAGACAATCATTTCTTTTTAACTGAATGGTAAATTATGTAAGTTAACATATATTTCTTCTTTTTTTTTGCGATGTGAAAGAAAGAAAATTGTCAAGTGTAAAAAATCATATATGTTAACTATAAAATATAGAGGGTGTACACATGAATTCGTTCATCTAATTTTTCTTTTGTTTATTATAAAATTTAACAAAAAAGAAAAAAAAATAGTAAATAGAGAGTCAAGTAATCGACTAATAATAACGTAATTCAATGTTTATTTTTATAGATTATCTATCGTAAAACTTATATAGATAAATACGGGTGCATGCACACACACAATATATGAATTGTGGTGATGGAAAATTACGTTTCAATGACTTTTAATGTTCTATTAAACGCATACATCAGCTAGCAAAGGGATAGACAGAAAGTAATGCTGCAGGCGTTGCGCGTATGTGTGCCATTTCCCTATTTCTAGTTTTATACTATCGATTCACACGATAGATGTATTTGTTGGTGTGAATCGGAAATAGGACTTGTTGTGCTAATGTTCATTTATTCCCTTTCGGGCATCTTTATTCCGCATAATATGTAAAATATATTGTTAGCCAAAGTTATTTCTATGTTACAGAAAAAAGAACCTTTCGTTGTTTTAGTGTATTTATTTTGTTTCTCTAAGCGGATTGTATTCCACAGATAATTTTTTAAAGAAAATTGGTTTAGGCAAGATAATTTTTATTTAATCGAAAAAGATCTTGCATGGAAACAAGTGATGTCAATATATTTTCCCATCGTATTATGTCTCGATTTCAGTCTGCGAACCATTGCGTTTTCTCTTGAGTAGAATTATCGTCTTCGTCGACGTTGTTGTCGCTTTCTTTCCCACTGCCGCACTTTTGCTCGCCCTTCTCAAGAAAGACGAATGATAAGAGTGAACAAGGCATGAGTGCGGCGAGCATAATGGAACAGAGAGACAAGGAAAATGAAGGGACGTAACATCAACAAGAGCGAACGAAGAACATGTCAAGGAATTGGAAGGCTTGAACAAGACGAACGTGATGAAGGCAACAGCGGTAGTGAATATGGTCTTAATCTCTAGAGATTATTCAATGATCGTATTGCGTTTATAGCTTGTATATACATCAACATGCTCTTATTCTTTTGCTATTGTTCTCAATGCATTTCTTTTTCCTTTTTTTTCTTCTTCTTTTTCTTCATGGACGTATTTAAAAGCTATTCTAAATTTTATTGTATATTTTGATAAATATTTATGTAATCTTTCAATGTAACTATTATGATTTGATAAATCTTCAAGAGTTATTTGTGTATGTTTAATTCGAAAAAAGAGTGAAGAGTGAATAAGAATAAGAAGAAAAGACGATAAGGGAAGGGAAATAGACCCGGTGCCTGAACTAGAATAATCACAAAGAAAAGAGAACATCAGGACGATCGAGCCTTTGTATCGGGAAGAGAGCACTGCGGTAGTCTTGTTTATCTTTCTCTCTCTCTCCGTACAATGACGCGAAATGTTCGTTCATTCTCGTGTTCCTCGTTGTAACAACCAGTCAGTAGAGCAGTGTATTTGCTAATAGAAAATAGCACTAGTATAGACAGAAAAAAGCGACAAAGAGAGAGAGAGAAAAAAGAAAACCTAGTCGCCGTGGCAGCTGGAACCACTAGAACTAAAATGAAAAAGGAGACAGAGGAAGAGAAAGAGCGCACAAAAAATAATAATAATAGAGACGATAAAAGTAGAAGCATCATCAGCGGTAGCAGTGGTTACTAAAGAGAGAGGGGGGGGGAGGGGGAGGTAGAGAGAAAACAAGAACATGTTGCTGCAATTTAGATCCCGTTGTGCAACAAGAGCAACTATATGTGCAGTAATTGAAACTTGACTTGACGATCATGATTAAATACATATATTTTGCAGAAGAAAAAAAAATCAAGTACTCAAGATAATATTACAAATTATTTCTGCTTATATATCTTATGTTATTAAGCTTTTTCTTTGTCATTGTTCTTATCTCTTTTCTTTTTTTCTTTTTGTAGATAAAATATTCAATTGAAGACAATAAGGATATATGATAAAACATTGAACGCTTCGATGACATCGGTGCTTGCAGATGGATGCTCAACGACAAAATCAACAATCACAAATCTACATTGTCAAACGTATCAACGGTATGAAAATAGAATTCAATAGCCTAAAAACAAACATTTTTGTTTCTATCAGAAAGATTAATTAAAAATAAAAAGATTAGATCGTGCAAAATTCTGTTTGAAATATATGAACTTATAGTCTATTGACAAGATTCCCGGATACGTTTAATAACTTAATCTTAAAGCAATGATTATATTCTAAGATCATTTATTTTTTATTTACAGAGGAAGACAATAATCAGTTTTTATTCTATATCATTTCTAAATTAGACGTTCAATTCATTAGTGACATCTATAATAGAAAAGCTTTATTCTTTTATTTTATTTTTTTTTGGATGTTATAGATTGATAGTTTCATATAGCTAAGTCAAAGATAATAACAAATATGTACATTTTATGTTTTTTCCAAACCTATTAATCAAGATTTTTAGTGTAGGATAACTATGAATGGAAAGTTCATTGCACCAATTTTTACCGGAAATGATCAGTATTAAGTATCTATCAATTTACTCATGCTGAGTAGAGTCCCGCAACGTTTATAATGCTAAGCTATATATTTCAGTTATATATGAATCATAATACAGGCTAAATTGATAAGAATATTACTCAAAACAAAACAATGCACTTAAAAAAAACTCTGTATACTAGAATAATTTTTGTTACTACGATGACGATTTCTGCTGTCATGATGAAGATGAAAATCTCATAAAATATTCCTTTTTGTCTTTTTTTTTAAATAATACATATTTTATTTCTATTAGGTTAGCCATGCACACGTTGGCACTGTGCTATGTCTGTAATTCTCGTCACTGATGATAGTGATGATGATATTCAAATTCCTAAATACGAACATATTTATCAACAAATAAAAGAACTTGAATATAATTTTTCCTCTATCGAATCTTCCGTATCGATAGTTAATAATCCTAAAACTTATCATTGCCGGCGGCGCTATCGGCCGCAGCAATGTTTAGTGAAACATTTGCTCACCTACATGTTCACATTGCTTTTCCTAATCAATCATCTTCATTGGTCAATAATATTTTTTTCCTTATCTTCAATAAAATTCATGTCAACATACGCATCAACAAGCACCACGTCGGGCCCAAAACTATCGTCGTCCATAATCAAAGAGGACGAACAAAAATGTTCATCAATACATGGTTCAGATATAGACCGATTATGTTCAAGGACAAGTCGTGCGCAAAGAACACCCTACGAACAATTAGAAACTTCCAATCAAGTATCATTAGATACACTTCATTTAAATTTTTGTTCAAATCATACATTAAGTCATTCAATAAATCAGACACTTTTTTTCAACGAAATGACAGAAAACGAATGTCGAAAGATGTTCGAAAAATTGATATACTACGACGAAGAAGCTCGAAATGCTTCGAAACTTTTTGTTACTTATATGGAAGCTATCGATTGCGCATCCGAGGAAAACCGCTATTCAATAATCAGAGCCGATTGTTTAGTAAGAACTTTCTTTTTCTTTTGTTTTTGTAAATTAACTATTTTCATATTTTAGCAAGCTTACCGAACATGGACTTGTTCGGTCAGAATTCCATACTTCCATCAAAATCAAGTTATACCGCCTTGTCAAACGATCTGTGATGAAGTCGAACGTGTTTGTCCCACATTTAGACCCAGTGATCGTGAACCATTATTTGCTGGACAATCATTGTTCTTTTGCGATGGTAATTTCATTTGATTAGACTAACAAACATATTTAGATAGAAAAATAGTTTCTATCATCCAAAAGTTAACTAAGATTTTCTGTTTACTTGGAACTATTGTTGAGCTTTGCTTTGTCAGATTTATGACATACGATTAACAAATCAATAGAATCTTGATTTTTTTTATTAGAACTGAAAAATTGTCGAGCTTATAATTTTGCTATTTTATGATTCATAATCAATTCGATACATCGGATGGGTATTGATGTATCGAGAGGAAAAATTTGTTTTGCAGAAACACTATTCGTAAACATCTAACATAAGTGTACTTGAAACCTTCATCATCTCATTTGTTCGTTTAATCAAAATGAGATATTTACTAATGATTTATGATGGGCCAATTCAAGTGTCATATGGCTTTTCAATGTGACACTCAATAACATTGAAAATGATTTGTTAGATATTATGGGACTATCTCAAGGTTCTGATGAGTATTGAAAAGATAGCAGAAAATCATAAAATACGACTTCATGATAAAACACATAAAGAAGAGAAATGCTATCTATATAGAAACATATTCACAATGGCTAAGCTGATTACTTTTAGTCTATAAGTAATTCTTCTAATGTCATTTATGTTATTATAGGAGGTATTGTGGCAAACAGTGATTATGGACAACCACCACATTGTTTTAACACGTGTCATTTAGCTGATGGTTCGTGCAAAATTCATTCCGTCTCGTCAACATCATCAAACCAGTCTTCATTAATAACAACAACAGCAACAAAAACTAGTCAAAATCATGCGAGTGAACACTCATGCTTCGAAATTGAGCTCTTAACGCCTTCTCTATCTGAACAGTTTTCATTGCCTCCTCTGCCAATCAATGATTCAATACCCAACGATACAAATAATACATCTATTTCTTCATCAGCTATATCGTCAATTGGATCATCCATTATTCGCAATCGTTTGACTTTTATTTTCGTTTTTCTATCAAGTTTATTATAGAGAATATGACTAATGTTGATGATGATTTAGTTGTACTATTTGTAGTCATAGATAGGCAATATACGTCAATCATAATCGAGCTGGTACTCGATCTGAAAAAAAGAAATAAATGAAATTATGAAAGTAGCATCAAGCAAACGGTCGTACGCAAGTCAATTTCTTATGTGTATGCATGTGTGTGTGTATTTTACTTCTATGTGTACTTTATCTTTTGGTTTTTTCTCTCTCTTCTTTCTTTTTTGTTCTTCATGTTTTCTTCATTTTTGTTTTTTGTACCATTCGAATGTGATGCCATCACTGAATGGCCTAACATTCATTATACACTGTTGCTGCTGATAGATCTAGAAGAAGAGAAGAAAAAATGAAAAAGAAAATATTAACTGACACTGTCAGTATTGTCTTTTACGGCTAATATTTATAGAAACGAACACGGAAGAACACTAAGAATACTTTATTTGTTCTTTAAAAAAAACATCTAGTAAGCAATTATCGACATCTATCAGAGATTCCCAAAGTCATCGAATCGTAAACTGTGAATCATTCAAGTATGGTGTAATTTCATATCGATATTGTTATTGATTTCTTACACTATCGATTTGAGCTTTTGAAGGCTCATAATAAAAAGTTATATTAATTTATTCCAGCATTCATTTAATATGTAGCTTTGAAAAACTAGAATCATATAAAATGCAATTACTTTAGATTATATGTGATTAAATATGTGTGATATAACAGATGAAGAAAAGCAAAAAGTGATTGAAGATATATGCGAAACAGCAAAACCGGGTGATATGCTAGAATTCGATAGAGGTCAATACAATCACTGGGCAATCTATATTGGTACGTGAATTATTTGTATTAATGTTCTCGACAAAAACTCAATTTAGGTGGCGGTTATGTTATTCATCGGTGGAATAATGATAGTGACACCGAACAATCTACATCTTTTTTGAAAAGTATTATGACTAATTTTGGTGCACAGTCTGACAATGGTAAAATAGTGAAATCAAAATTATTTGATGTATTGAAATACGGTATTAAAGTGCGAGTGAACAATTATCTCGATTCTGAACGTCAGTAAGTCTTTCACCAAAAAGATACCTATATCCATATAGGATGAAGTGCATTGATTATCTCGAGGGAAACGATTTTCAGCTATTTGAAATTTTCCAAACAAGCGATTATGCTGTTTCTATCTTGATCAATGAAATAAAATTCTCAGACAGTATCCTTTATGATGGCTGATCACGTCTCATTTGTTGTAGTCTCTTCAAAAGTCTAAGGCATCTGCAATGATCACAGAATACAAGACTTAGCGGCTTCATTATATAATAATTAAAATTTTCGTTTTATATCAATACAAAAATTGATTGCGCTGTGTTGAATATGTTTGAATAGTGTTTCATTTTAAATAGCAGCTAAATATTTTTCTTGTTTTCTTTCATTAATATGAGAATGTATGGCAATATCTGATCACAATTCGTATTTTTATTTGCTTAGACCATTGGATGTTCAAGTCATTCTTGAAAAAGCTGAAAGAGTTGTTGGTCAAAAAGGTTATGATTTAATATGTTGTAACTGTGAACATTTTGCTACTGAATGCCGTTATGGGGTACCAATATCTCGTCAAGTAAGACAATTGGTGTGGTATTCACATTAAATATATATATATATATTAATATTTAAGGTAGACATAATTGGTGTGTTGTTATTTTCAATTGTGACATTGAATGGAACTAAGCTGATTTCATCTAGGTCCAAAGCTGGTGCTTCACAAAGATAGTACACAGATATTGAAGTCTTTTGGTTACAGACTCGGATTCAACCTATAATTTTTATAGAGCCTATATTTCAGAAAACCTTATATTTTATCCAATATTTCGGTCAGCTTTTCTATTTTACCCATCTACGGAAAGAATTCAATCTCAGTCTTCGTCGTCTACATTTTTTACGCAAAGTGCTTCAATGTTTATACGCATATTTTAACTTTTATCGATACTAACTATGCAAAATAGAACAATACTTTTTCTCCTTTTCAATGGAATAAACGACAAGTATCTGGCTCTTTTAAGTAATTAGCAAATATTCAAACAAAGTAAAATAACGTTTGTAAATCATATAGAAATATGTTAGATAGTTACGTTTACCTAACTCTTTATTTCTTCAAACCGACTTCAATCACAACTTCTTCCAATCCGACTTCACTTAGGTCTCTTGACCAATAGATAGATATGAGAACAAAGAGAGGTAGTGGTCACAGATAGCACCACTACCTTACACCTCCACCCTTTGCCAGTGAACAGCTTCATCTGTTCACGAGAAAACAAACACGAGATACTAAATAGAAACTAATAAACGAATAGTAACACATAAAAAAGAGAAAACAAGAAAAAATATAACTATAAACGATCACGAACATGAGTTATAACAACTTAGAAGTAAAGAGAGAGAAAACCATAATGTAAAGGATAAACATGTTGCCTAGTGATAAATTCCGTGTTACATTTTTTCTTCTTTTTACGTAAAGATAAATGTCCCGAATTAACAGAATAATCAGTTTGCAACGTATCAAAATAAATACAAATATGTTGATCAGAAGTATACACCATTCATCATGGTAAATGAAATCGAGATAGAAACTAATATTAAAACAATCCTGTTGCGTTTCAATACTTCCTAATATCTTTGGATCAATCAAAGTATGAGTAACATATAAATCAACATTAGTATCATTATACTTTCCATGAACATCAACTTTAACTAATTGCATAACAGGACTAAGTACACGATGAACTACACCAAGATCATTCGACGAATATAAATTAACTTGATCATTTGGTATTTCTTGTAATTCATCTTCGCATGTAATAGGATTATCAATGGCTACTGTAGATGAACATGTTGATTGAGTAATTGTAATTATCGGGGACGAAGTATTTGGTATATAATCAACGGTTGAATCTTCAGTTAGATTTTCACGTACGAATTGATGAAGTGATGAGGGTTCAGGCAAAACGACAATAGTTAATTGTTGATCATCATTTGTTATTCGTTCAGGTGTTGAAGATTTTTCAATTTTCGAAGATGGTGGAGAAGGTACATTTGAATTTGATCCACTTAGATCAATAAGTGCTGAAAAATTATCTTGAGATATAGGGGACGAATCTGGGGTTGTTTTGGGTGATACAGATGAGGAATTAACATGTTGTACGGTTATTGGTCGTTGTTCAATTACTGATAATGTTCGATTAAATGATGGTTGATAAGCTTGAGCAATAGCAGCCTTAAATGAAGACCAATCAGGAATATTCATCTTGTTAAAACGAAACCATTTTGCAGCAACACCAACTAAATACGATTGCACGCTATCAAATATACATTCAGTATCTTGTAACCAGTGTAGAACATCTTCATCACGAGCACCACCAAATGTAGTAAGTTTCATTATTTGTTCTTGGACGAAAATCTGCATGTTTTGTTCGTCCATACTTAATAATAATACTTTTGGTAAGCTGTAATAAGCGTGTTGAAATAATTTATAAAGAGACTGGATTATCACCAATAAGCGTGTATGTTTCAAATAAAGTGCGAGGAAGCAATAGGATCATAGCATGAGAACTGATAAGAACAATAAGTTGAGGATAACGAGTGTAAAGATTAACATTAATCTTGATATAACACCGAGAGAAAAAAAATAACACTGAACAGGACGAATAGAGAAAAAAAACGAATCGAGGGGGAAAATCTTCTCGTGTTCGACGAATTGTGGTCGAAATGTATCACGAAGGGTCACGGCACCAATTGTTAGATAGTTACGTTTTCCTAACTCTTTATTTCTTCAAACCGACTTCAACTAGAATCACTTCAACTATAACTTCTTCCAATCCGACTTCACTTAGGTCTCTTGACCAATAGATAGATATGAGAACAATGAGAGGTAGTGGTCGCAGATAGCGCCACTACCTAACATATACCTATCCATTTATTAATAAACACTTTGAATAAAATTATGAAATAAAAAACCCTTAAAACAGTTTCATGTACCCTTTTTAAATTCGTATACCCTTACGATAGCAAACCCTTCAACTCATATACCCTTCATAGGGTATATGACATGCGCTTAAACCCTTCAAGGGTTTATAGGAAAAAAAATCAAGGGCAAGCGTTCATTATTCTGCCCTCTTTTTACAGTGTACTCCGGTATTACTTAAATCTTCAAGAACAATTAAATTTTTGGACTCATGTAGTATTAAATAAAATAGATTCATACTAGCATGCGCTGGTCACATTTTGATAGTTTATTGGAAATAGATGTTAAACTCTAGAGCAAAGCGTTGACGGAAGTGCATCGTACACGAACTTCAAAATAAAAGCAAATATGCAATAAATTACAATGATGAACTGTGAGTCCATTTTTTCTTGCCATGGAACTTAATACAGCAGTGATTTTATATTTTATTTAAGGTCTATTTTGATACATATTGATTTAATATAAGCAATCTAGCGCGTGCTGTTTCGTAAAAACTATCATGGATGTCTTTAAAACTAGTTTGATATGAAAAGGTAAACACTTTTATCATCTATTTTTGCGAAAAAGCGAAAATAATTTTAAAAAATCTAGACCGGCCGGCTTGGAATAAGTCACTTGTACCGGCCGGTATACCTGTCGGTCAGGAATCCTAGACTGGACCAGCCGTTTACCGTTACCAATTGCAACACTGAGGCATATATATATAGTTTTCCAAATTGTAAAATGTACTGAATTTAAAAAAAACCAGAGCCATCTAAATCTTTTCATATTATAGTGTTATATTAGTTTATTTTAATTATACTTCTGTTAGTTGTAAATTAAGTAAAGATAATTTAATTGTTAAATGAGTATACGACGATTTTAGTGTAAAACTAAACTAAAACATAATATGAAAAAATCTAGTCTCTGTACCATAGAAATAGATTTTTATTTTTACACTTACGCTTGAGTTTTTAAATTCAACGAATCAATTTCATTTTCTAATAGTAAAAAGATATTGCCCCGAAAAATGTTGGAATTTTCTTAATTTATTTTATTTAAAGTTGTCTAAATCAATTGCGTCTATGTAAAAGATAATTTTTTTTACTATCTAAAATGAAAAAAATTGAGAATGAAACTATAAAATACCGTCTTAGAATAATTATGAATGTGTAGGTGGTGAGGTCTCAATCCTACGGCTCAATAGTTTTGGCAATTGGTAAGTGTCATATTGTATACATTTTCGAATCTAACCTTCATCGATACATGTTTTCAGTTAGACAAGTCCAGATTCATCCACTATATAAGGTAGCAACCTGTTATATAATCGTCTCAGACACGGTTAGCTTTTCATTTTTGTATTGTTTTTGAATGGGCGACAGGTACGCTAGCTACGACTAGTGTTATCAGACTTCATGACGATCGTCAATCAGAACACCAGAATGTAAACGCAAAACGTTCGAAAACTCGGACTAGTCCGAAACGAGTACTTTCAGAGACAAAGCATAGTCGAGACGGGTTAACATGAATAGAAATACACTTATCACTCAACCCGGATTTTGATCACTCTCAATGTGTGTCTTTGCTGTCAGGAGACAAACTAAATGTATGAAACTGCGAGCTAACTGAGTTAAAATTAAAAAAATAATTGTTTCGATCAAGCCATTGAATCCAGAGGTGGAGAAAATTCACAAATGTATCTTTTGGATTAATCTGATCTAAATGTTAATGAAACTTTGCCGATTATTTTACGATCAAAATCAAACACTGTGTTGAATTACTTAATATACTCTTGAAATCGGCTAATATGAACGAGCTACTGTAAATCATCTTAACAATCTCGATGGCAATTATCAATCATTTCTCCTTTGTATTTTTCTTGAACACAGATCCACGCCGAAAAGTCGTTTACCAAGGGGGAAACGGCGGATTCCCAGGATTCCGGATCCCATGGGAATCCCGAGAATACCTGAAATCTTGTGGAAATCCCGGGAATCTCGTGGGAATCCCGGGAATCCCTGGAATCCCATGGGAATCCATGGAATCCCGGGGAAATCCGGTATACGTCCCAGAAATAACTAATGTAGACGTCTCAAAAACACTTAACATATAGCTTTTGCTCACACATATCAAAAGTCATTGCATTCATTTAGTATGTTAAAGCACATTCCTCTAAAAAACTATGGTAGAGATACGAAAAATAAGTCATCTTTAAATGAGATATTAAACTCAGTTCACAATGTCGACTCAGAAACCCAAGTAATAACCAATTTCTTGATAGACTGGACAAATTACAAGAGTTTATAA